AACCTTCCCCTAGGGTGGATTACAACCCTCCCAGGGTGTGGGTTCAACCTTCCTAGGACGGGGGGGGGGGGGGGGGGTGAGGGTTCACGACCCTCCCTAGGGTGGGTCTTCCATGCCCGGAACTATGCTATTCCATGAAGTTGAGTACTTTTTACTCAAATTAACACAATCAGTTACCTATTACAAAGAGATTTCTTGAGCAGCACAAATCAAGGTCCACAACCACACACTTCCACTGGTGCCTATAGTTCTGAGGTGTCTAGTGATAATTAACTAAGAAACTATGTGATAATTAACTAAATAAGAAAAGCCCAACTACATTGGATCAGTGTAGTTCTGGGTGTGGCTGAAGGGATCTGCTGGAGAGAAGCCCCGCCCTAGGTGTGAGTGACAGCAACCAATAGGCTTGCTGCCTAAATGCAACAAAAGGGAAAGGAAGAAAGAAAGCTCCCACCTGTTTCTGGAGGTGCCCAGTCTTCCCCTTCTCCTTAGATGTTGTCTCCTGGCTTCCATTCCAGACCCTTCAACCTCCTGAGATGGACTTGCTTGGGATACTACAGTGAGCTGAGGGCCTTCACCCGGCTCCTTTGGAGCTCCCGTGCACAAACAGCCCTTTTGCATTTTGCCACATCTGACTCTGTGGGTGGTCATTTTAAGCCCCCCCCCCACTTTTTTTTTACTTTTCTGACATGTTCTCACTACGTAGCCCAGACTCCACTGGATCTCATGGTGATCCTACTGCCTTGCAAGTGCTGGATTTGAGGGTGTGAGCCTCCATGTTTGGCTAAGCCAACCTTGTAAATCCTCACACACTTATATATCTTGTATTAAATCCATTTCTCTAATAAGCATTGATTTATATAGAATTGGGTATCAGAAATTACTCTGGAGAAATAGAACTGTAAAGGTGAAGTTCTTTAATGATATAGTACTTCCGGGTCTAAGATGTCATTTAAATCTCCTTCTGATACTGAGAAATTCTGATAGTTCCTAGTGCGAACTATTTAAAGTAATATATAATGCAGATCTATTTAATTATCCTAACTCACCACTTGTGAGATGTAAGGAATTTAGTAACTCTCTATAAAAGGTAATTTTGAATATTTACCAAGTAACTCAGAAAATAGCTAGTTTTGAGTTGGACTCAGAATAAGAGAAGGCTCTGTAACAGGTCCAGGGTTGTAGAGGCTGCTCTGTCAATAGAGCCATATGATCCATCAGAATCTATGGTTCTTGAAGTGTCAGATGCAGGTGGAGATGCTATTTGGAGTCTCTGGCAGGCTCCCACAGGTGAATTGAAGTGGACGTCTTTTGGGTTTTGGAGCAAGGCTCTGCCATCCTTTGTAGACAACCACTCTCCCTTTGAAAAACAGCTCTTGGCTGGCTTCTGGTCCTTAGTGGAAACTGAACCCTTGAGAATAGGACAGTAGGTTACTACGTGACCTGAGTTCCCCATCACAAGCTGGTGATTATCAGATCCACCGATTCATAAAGTTGGACCTACACAGCCACAGTCCATCATTCAGCTAAAGATCTGTCATTCCTTGACAGAAAGCAAACGGAAAATAATACTCACTACAAAGTTTGCATTGAGTATTGGAAGAAACCATTTGATGGGTGATGGCCTAGGCCAGTCATCAGGTGTTCTGGGAGGCTGAAGAAGGAGAAAGGAAAAGTTTACATCCAGCGTGAGCAACTTAGCTAGACCTTGTCTCAAAATAAAAAATGCCTGGACATAGAGCCCTAGAATAATCCCAGTATTCCATCCCTGACCCTGCTTTAAAAGGAGGGACTATTTTTGTTACTCTTGAAGGGTGTCTGCATATTCAGCAAAGTTAGCCCATAGACATTTGACTTAGGCATGGAGCCCAGACCCACAAAATCAGCACTCAGGAAGGCTGAGTGAGAATGATCGCAGGCTCAGCCCAGGCTGGGAACAGAGAGCTCAGGTAGACGCAGCCTTTCCAAAAATAAGTGGTCAGTCTCAGAACTGCCCGCAAGGTGCCTCCCTGCCTCCCTGCTGCCCTCCTTCCTCTTTTCTTTCCTTCTTTTTCTTTCATTCATTCATTCATTCATTCATTCTTTCTTTCTTTGTTCCTCTCTCTCTCTCTCTCTCTCTCTCTCTCTCTCTCTCTCTCTGTTTCTTTCTCTCTCCCCCTCTCTCCCTATTTGTTTGCAGTTCAGGGGATTGAACCCAGGATTCCTTCATTCTTTGTGTTAAGCTACATCTCTAACCCTGTTCTGATTTTTGTACTTTGAGATAGAGTCTAGCTATATTGGTGAATAGTCCAGGCTTGACACGCTCCTGTCTCAGCCTCCTGGAGTGCTGAAACTTCAGGAATGGCTCACCAGGCTTAAGTGCAAGGTGCCTGCCTCTGATGGCTTCTGCCTTCCTGAGAACTTTCACGTCCTCACTTGCTCTGCTCACTCCCCCCCTCCCTCCCCACCTCACCCATCAGACTTTCAGCTCATGCCATGTCTCAGCCGTCCCCAAGCCCTTAGCATCCATCCCGCTTCTTTCTCTGTCCCCGTTCTCCTCTCCTCATCTGTCTGCCCCTCTTCAGCCCTGCTTTCTTCTGGCTCTCCAGCTGCTTCCAGCCGCCCCCTCCCGGCTGCTGCCCTGCTCTCCACTGCTCCAGGTCCCAAGATGCCGCTCTGCAGCCTTCCAGCATCTGCCCTCAGCCCTTCCTCTCCCCCATCCATGGACAGCTCCTGCTCTCCTCTCATCTCCTTCCTCAGAAATTGCTCCCTTATTGCCATTTCTTTTCAGTTGTTTCTATTTTTCTAGATTTTCCTAAGATGCAAATCAGCATTGAGGTTATGAAACAGAAGCCCCTGTGACTGGAATGGCAAAGGGACACCCCTGGCCTGCGCTCCCTCCTCGCCTGGGCCATTCCCGGGCAGTGCCCCTTGTTCAGACAGATGCTTTTCCTTCCTTTAGGGTTTAGGGTGATCGTCCAGGCCACCACAGACTTTGCTTCCTTCTCCCTGTGCCTGGCTTTCCTACTTCAGTCTCTTGCTCTCATTTAAATCTCTGATGCTTTTTGTGTTTACTTTGTGTACTGAAAAAAAGTCGAGACTCCCTTTCACAGCTTAGGAATTTAGTCAAATAACCACGGCCCCGTGGGGAGGAAATGTCACGGGAAGGCAAATAAGCAAGACCACAGGATCACACACACACACAGGGAGAATGGCGAGACGACAGGTCATCTTTATTTTCCATCCACAAGAAATGCCTGGCTCTGTCCTGTGTGGAACGCGAGGAGCACACGCCTTTCCTCTACACCCACCGCTTCTCCGTGTGTCAGACTCAGCAGCCAACCTGCAGGAGTTTGAGGGCACAGCCCCTGGCTGTGAGTACAATGTCTGCAGAACTATAGTAATTAATGCATAAATCTCTTTAAAAGACAAAGTATATATGTACAACCATCTATTAAACTTACCTATCAAAATAGTACAAGAATAGGACAGAAAAATCTCAATATTACATCAAATATACATAGTAACATTTCTATGGGCAAAATGCTTACAGTACACTGATATAGTTTATACGAAAAAAAATCTACAATATGCCTATGGATCTGTCATTATATTTCAAATGATTTCCTCCCAACTGGAGACTCCACAGGCCATCTTCAATGAGTGTCCAGGTTACAGGGCACCAAATGTATCAAACAGCAGATATTCTACTTCTAATTCAAGGGAAGTTTGAATGAGGATTCTAAAATTTGCAAGGTGCTATAGAAAATCGCGTCCCTTATGGTCCCACCATGGGTTCCCAGCTCTCAGGTGGATGCTGTGCTGAGTGTATTTCATTGCTTCCTGGGCCAGAGATCTGGAAGGCAGAGAAGAGACAAAGTCAGACCCATGGGGACAATTTTCTAGATGACAAGATTGACACCCAAATGCCAAGACCAACTATAGTCTGGACCAAATCCAGGTCCAGCTCTGTCTCTACACTTCATTCTTAGCCCCAATCCTGAGCCATCATTTCCCTTTGTGGTTTTCAGTGTTTTCGACTCACATTCCAAAGATCACGTGAGATGGTTCAGGTTATACCTAGCTCCCTCCTCATAGTGAGAGTGGTTCTTCTCAGGGATCTAATGACCCTTGGGGAAGACGGCACATCACTTATGATGCCCTTAGTGCAGGACATGCATTTAAGTTCTGGACTTCTGCCTGTGACATCACCATTACTAGTGTCAACATCGTGACAGAAGCCCAGGTGCTGAGCCTAATCCCAAGCCCCAGTGTCTCACTACATGCACATGATTTACAACAAATCCTTGCTTATTCCTCTACCCAAACACATACTGGAATGTGGCTATTGTAAGAAGTCACTGTGAACCTAGTCTTTGTTAACTTTCTATCATTCTGACAAATATCCACACCCTGATTCTTGAGGAGCAGATGTGTAATTATGGAGAGTAGAAATTCGTGCATAAATGGAAATACGAGATAGGAAACCTCCCAGTGCACTCAAGCACAAGAAACGCATCTCCGTGCAGCCGGGGATGCTCATTCAGTCAGGGATAATTCCCTTCCATGCCTGCACAGGCAGCGAGCTCCATCTGATAGAGTCTCCTTAAGCCCTCATTTGTTATACATAAATCCCTTTCTTTTCTCTCCCTGAAGAACAAAAGGTGAAAATGCAGCTCTGTCAGGAGATGGAAATTTATGGCTGGGCAATATATGTTCACTCAAAACAAAAACCAGTATCTCATCCACACTGCCCTGGACCCATTGCTCTGAGAGGAAGGATAGCTACTAAATCTGTGCCTCATGGACAATCCACTGTTTGTGCGGTCCGACAGAGCAGAGTCCCAGCACATAGCTCATCTTTCCCAGGCCAGGTGTGTCTGCTTGTCACGCTGGTTGGTGACTTTGGAGGGGGCAGGGAGAGGCTAAAATTGTGCCTGGGCTAGGCTGGTTACTGATGTAGAGACAGTGGACAGGGTGGGGGATCATGAAAGGATCCTCCCATGGTCTCCCCGCATTGCCTACATAGACACCAGCGGTGCTGTCTGAACACCAGGACGCCCACCCACCTTCAAGAGGGCACTGTTCTCAGGGTACCAGGGTCCAGGGATGAGGGCGCGATCTCGGCTCCACACCCAGAGTGCAGGGTCATAGGCTTGGATCTGGAAAGGAGAGCAGCCCCTGAGTGGATGAAAAGCTCAGGGACACCACCTGCATGTCCAGTCTCCAGCTGTCCCTGGTCACCCATGCCCAGGATCCCCTGTTCCTCTGTCTCAATCCAGCCCAGCCCCACCAGCCCCGTCTCACCCACCTCCTCACACTCCTCTCGGGTCACCCTGAGGTTCCAGTCCATGCAGCAGATGAATTGATGGCGCAGCTTGTGGAACTGGGGAACCAGTTTCAAATTCCAGTTGTAGAGAAACAATAAGATGGCTAGTTTAGGAATCTGGTCATCCTCCTCCATGTCAATGGCCAGGTATCTGGGAAGGAAAGCAGGCTGCTGGTCAGCAGCACAATCACTGGACCCTGAGTCAGCTCATGGAGAAAAGGCGGGGATGCAGCACCCTCCAGCCCAGGATGCCATTAGCCCGGTCCCGAGTTCCTGAAGAGCAGCTCTGAGCAGAGGTGAAGCCTGCACAGAGCTCTTCTGAAAGTGCCTCCCACCCCAAGGAGGAAGACAGGAGCCCTGGGTAGAGCCTGAGGTGGCCTCCTGCCCCATCACCAGCTGCAGCTGACATCTCCACCTCCCCACCTCTATCCTGTCTTTCCATGCAGCTCGGCCTCTGCCTCCTGGCCTCGTGGGGAGCATCTGCACAGGTGACCTTGGTAAGTTTCTGTGCTCTGCCTTCCCCTCCCCAGTGGCAAGCTCAGGGCATGCATGGATTCCACCAGCGAGTTCTACATGTTCCTCCCCACTGCCAGGACCTCTGGCAGAGGACCTGTGGCAAAAGATTTTGCTATATGAAAGAAGGAAGGAAGGAAGGAAGGAAGGAAGGAAGGAAGGAAGGAAGAAAGGAAGGAAGGAAGGAAGGAGAGGAGGAAGGCAGGCAGGCCAGCTCCACCTGTAGACAAAGGCCATGCAGAGCCCCTGGGGGACTCAGTGCTGCAGCAGAAACACTCACTGAATGAGAAGAACCGAGCTGCCGTTTTAAGGATGTTCACAGGACCCAGCGCTCAGCAGCCGCATCCCTAAAGGTGATTAGGTGAGCGAGGGCAGATGAGGAACCAGGGCCCCAGATGTCCTGACAGAGGGACCTGAGGACAGCGCTGCTGGAATGCAGAGGGAGGGATCCGGGAAGGATGGAGACATGGCAGTTGTGGTTTGTTGGCAGGACTGGGGCTGAATGTAGGGTTTTATGGTTGACCAACATCTGCACTCCTTTTCTGCAGGTTTTGTTCAGAAACAGGGTCTTGGCAGCTTCCTAAACTGACCACGCCGTATTCTCCTGCCTCAGGCACCCAGAGGGCATTGATTACGGGAGGGCATTGATTACGGGAGTGCACAGCGATGCTCAGCTTCGTGGTTTTTTTGTTTTGTTTTGTTTTGTTTTGTTTTTTGAAACAGGTTCTCATTGAGTTACTGTAGATCTTGAATACCTGGAACCAAAAATAATCCTCCCCTGAGAGCAACTTGAGTGGCTATGAATGCAAGTGTGCACCACCACAGCCATTGAGGTTTGGATATTTTGAAGATAGGTAATTTTTATTCAAGTTCAAAATATGAAGTCATGTGGACAGGAAACAGGAGATAAAGGCTGAGAAGGATGCTCAGCAGGAGTAGTGAAAGAAAGGAAGGGAACATCAAGATGAGGAGTTGGTAGGTGAAGACAGATTGTAGAGCAGGTGAGTTCCAGGGGACAGCTAGGCCTTGGTGTGCATGAAGTACTTAGTGATGTGGGAGCCACAAGGCAGGCGAGCCTTGGGCCCATCTTTGAAGGCTGATCAGGCAACACAGAGCCTGCTCCCTGGCTCCCTGGCTCCCTGGTTCCCTGGCTCCCTGGCTCCCTGGCTCCCCGTCTCCCTGGCTCCCTGGCTTGTAGAGAGACTTGTCAGAAGGACCAGCAGGGAGCACATTACACTCAGTGTGTGCCTGTCAGGAGGGCATGCATGGGCCATGGGTCTAGAAAACCATAGGAGGAGACAAGAAGACATTTGGTATTGCTAAGGAAGGGAACCCTCAAAGGGTCAGAAATGCCTGCCCTCGGGCCTGAGGGCTGAGGCCCACATATGGGTTCTTCCTGCCTCTGTTGTCTGGGGCCTCAGTTTCCCCTGGTGGCATGCTTTAACCAACGTGAGGGCAGACTGCAAGATTCCTAAGAGGAGCATGGGAGCACGCAGTGTGACGCCCCTGTGCTACACTCAGCAGTACAGAGGTTTAAAGCCAGAGGCCAGGTGAGCGTCCCCTCCCACCCTCTGGGCTGACCATGGCCTGTGGGGGGAGGCGCAGTACTCACAGCGCCAGGAAGAAGTGGATCCTCTGGTACTGCCAGGAGAAGAAGCCAGCCAGACTGAAGTAGGTGATGACCATGGCCAGGAGGTACTGTTGGAAAGAGAACACAATCAGCAGGCACAGCTGGAGGAAGAGGAATGTGGGGACACAGATTGTAGGGGACAGCAGGGCCCCAGTCAGAGAGAAGAGACCCCAGTGTTGGGTGCCCTGGTCATTTGAGGGAAGTGAGAGGAGGGTGGTTGTTTGCGGACGAGAGCAGTGAGGATGGGGGGAGGCCTTGGTGGTCACCTGTAAGGGTCTTCTGGGGACAGGTCATGGAGGTCAGTGGTTCAGAGGGGGTCTCTTAAGTAAAAGCAAATGGGTTCCCTGAGAGTTGAGGGAAGGGAGGAACTTCATGGAGCCCCAGCCAGAGAGGCCATATGCAAAGAAACTGTGGACTGGGCTCAGCTTACAGAAGACCCAGGCAGAGCAGGGTGCTGTGCCATCCAGCCTCTAGGCCAGCCAGGCCTGGAAGGGAGATGATGCTGAGTCCTAAGGGGGACTGATGGTGGAGGCTGAGGTAGGAGTTCCTAGCAGGGACAGAGGAGTAACTGTCGGGCTGGAACCTGCCCTCCCTGGGCGGTGCCACCAAGAGAGCCCAGCTCAGGGGAGAAGGACTCACCTTGTCAGAGGCCCTCAGGTTCATGTCCCAGCCCAAGAAACTCTTGATGACCGAATCTTCTGTGAAGAGAGCTCAGTGTTAAGTTGTGGCCTGGCAAGGGAGTCCCTGGGAGGAAGGAAATTAGGGAACAGAACTGTGCCTGCCACAGAGAAGATTCTGGATGGGGCTGGGGACAAGTGAATGGGAAGAGGAAGAAGAATGTTCACCAGGCAGGGGACAGGTGCTCAGCCCTGAGACTCTCAAAGGAGCAACTGAGTGAGGACCTGGGTAGCAGCAACTCTGCCTGGTTTGGACCTTAGAGCATGAATGCCTCATCTCAGCAGTCAGAAGGCATCTGGGTCACTTTTTTTTTTTGTCTTTTTTCCTTTTTATCAGTACCGGGGATCGAACTCACGACCGCCTCCTCGCAAGGCAGGCACTTATGCCGCTGAGCTAAATCCCCAGCCCCTCGGTCACTTTTTCTTGTGATGATCACACCTTGGTGTGACTATGATCCTGTCGCCCCTCAGGTGCTGTTATCATTTCCAATTCAGGCGAGTCAGTAATTGCTGGATGACAGGGGGCTGGATGGAACCAAGGTTTGTGATCTGCATGTCCCTGGAAAGGGATTGCACTGGAGTCCTCCAGGAACGGTGAGCTCAGGACTCACAGCAGGCTCTCTTCAACAGGTGAAGGAAGTGACCAGAAGTTTCCCGTGTTCCTTAAGAACTGGGTAGAAGGTACTGTGAGTCTTCATACCAAGTTGCCGCTGAAGGTTCCACTGAGGACACGTGCTTCCTTTTGAGGCTACAAGGCTTCTCCATGACACCCAAATATGGTTCCTGCAACACTTTGTGAAACCTGGAGAGACACTCCCTCCATCTCTTGTAAGTTGGGAGCCTGGTATCTTCCTTGGGGCTAAATCAAATAACCTGGGTACTCTCCTCTCCTTGTCCTCCTTAGGCTGGAATGACTACTTCCTCTTCCACTTGTGGCTAGACAGTCTGGGGTTTCTCCTCTGAGGGGAGTCAGAAGCACCCTGGTTGTGATTCTTCTGCTCTGCCTCTGATTCTTTGTGCTTCTTCTGGGCATGGGACGGAGGTAGGAAGTAAAGGGGCTAACCCAGGGACTCCATCAGAGACACCCATCAGGTCCTCCTGCAGCTCCTGCTTAAGACCAATCTCCCTTCCTCTTCTGAGCACAGGCCTGAGGTGGGCAGCTGGGTGCCATCCACGGCCCTGAGGAAGAAATCCAGGTCAAGTGTGAAGCTTCTATCTTTGGAATTCAGCTTTAACCATCTCAATCCCAACTCTCCAAATAAATCCCAAACTTCTTCCACTGTTGTCCCTCCAAAGCCATTGTTCCATCCGTGACCTTCGCTGATCTCCTTTCATCTCCAGTTCTGCTTGCCAATGTCCCCTCACTCTGTGCCTACAAACTCTGGTCATGTAGAGCATTTAAGCCACTGGGGAAGGGAATTCTGCCTAAGCCACCTCCTCTCCGATCTATTCTTGGATCTCATCTCCTGACCCCTTTCCTGCTCTATAGGTTTTCCATCAATTGACTGTCCTTGTCCTGCCTCTTGTTTTTGCTTTCTCTCATCTCTGCCTTCTTGAGCTCCTCCCTCCTGTTCTGTAACCCTTCTTCCTTCCTGGTCACCTTCTCAGGACCACGTAGAGGAGGGTAGTTGTAGGAAATGGTGTCATTCAGTGACATCATGACCTTGTCAATTGGATAGGGTCACTCTATAATGTCAGCATAGTGGCAAAATCAACTTATTACAGACAACTAAGTTAGATAAAAATGAACAGGCAGTCATCCAGGGACCAGGCTCTCAAAGCAGTCAGTGCAGAGTTGAGACACATCAAAACTGTGGCTGGAGACCTGGGAAGAGAGCCAGGCCTGCAAGCCTCGCTATAGACAGCAGCTTGAGATCGTACTGTAACCATCACCACCCGGTCCAGTGAGCCTAGATAAGGCGTCACATGCACAGGTGTCCTAATCCAGATTCCTATCCCTTTGAACTGCCTTTGACTCGAGGCTGGCTCCACACCGGAGGTCACTGTGGTCCTTGAGACTGAAGCAGCTCTCCCACTCTCCTGGCCTTGTAGTGCCACGACTGTCGTGCCTGTTCTCAGGCGGGTGCTGCTGCTGTGGGTCCTCTTCACAGAAGGATGTAAAGTAACCAGTGATTCATGTTTCAGGTCACTGGGCCAGGCCCTGGCGCCAAGGTTCTCCTGCAGAAAGCCCACACGGCTCCTGGGTTTTTACCTGTGCTTTCTTTCACTCCACTGTGAGCACACCTGGGATCCTTCCATCTCGACACAATTTTGTGCCTTTAAACCCCTGGTGTCCACAGTGGGCAGTTTGGGGCACTGCTTTGACTTTCTCCTGTTTGGATGTCATCACCGCCATGATTGCGCCTGAACTCCGGCTGCAGTGCTCCTGTGGCTACTCTCCTGCTGTAGTGGTGTTTACAGGGATGCTGCAGCTGAGTGGTTGGTTACTGTGTTGGAGGACTGGCCCTGTGTAGGCTGTGTCAGGTGCATCCTGAAGACCAACTGGGAGGCACCCAACAGCTGTCCAGGAAGCACTTGCCTGCGCCTGCCTTTGGGAGTGGCAGGTCCTCTTGGCAGGCTGACCGTGGAAATAAAGCAAACCTGTATGAACAAGCTGTCTTTCTCCTTTGTTTGCACATAGAACATGGCCTTGACCCTGGTGCCTGTTCCCTCCCCAGTGGTAAGGGTCTTTGGCCAGCCTTCTGCCTCCCGGCACACACAGTGCCCTGTGGGGGCCCTTATGACAGCCAGCTTGTGGAGTCTGCTCCTGCTGTGCCGTCTCTGGCCATGAGTTAGTCCACAGAGTTCAGTGGAGTTGCTTGCATTTTTGTTTTCTGTGAAGAAACATGTCATTTTATCTGATGAAACCCCTTGAACTTTGCAGCTAAGCAAGGTGCAAAGTTTGTGGTGAGTTTCAGTTCAGGCACTATGTTGTCTTAGTGTTCCCTTCACTGTCTGGGAAGGGCAGGAGCAGCCTCTGGTGTTGGCTCAATCCTGCCCACAGTGCTGCCACTGTCTGCCCTGTGCAGTTTGGTCCCCCAACTCCCTTGTATCTCATGGTGCTGGAGGCACAGAAGGGGCACTGAGGATCAGTGGCCAAGGACATGGGAGGCCCAAGGCCCACTGGAACTCCCAGGACAGCCTACAGCCTTGGGCTACGGGACAAAGCCCAGTGTGGCCCTTGACAAGCCCCTGGAATGCCATGCGGATGTCCTCGGGATGAGGCTGTGCCCTGGGCTCATCAGGGCCTCTGTCCTGGCTGGCCCCCCAAGTGAGGGACACTTGGTGCTGTCCTTTCTCCTGATCTCTGGCCCTTCTTCCTCTAGTTCCTCTGATACTGTCACTGTCGGAGTCCTGGTGTTCAGCCCCTTTAGCATCCCGTCCCCTTTAGCACACATTTTTATAGCATTCTTGGTCATTCCCGTGTCCTTAAAATGTGTGTGTCCAGCTTATGGCAGTGAGAAAAAAGCATACAATTCTATAGCAGATTTTTTTAATAGCTTTCAAAAGTGTTTCACTGTTCTAAACTCAAATGTAATTACCTGATTTGTAAATAAAACAATTTGAAACTGGTGTTTGTTCTCTTCTCCATAGAGATGGACTCTCCAGGGCAGCTTCCTGCAGGGGAAGTTCCTTACCTGACTTGTGCTGGCTCCTGAGCAAGTGGGTGGGTGTCGTAGGGCTCAGGACTGCCTTCGAGGCCTGTCTAGGAGGCCTGAGGCCATCAGGAGAGTGCTGGAACCCTAGACTTGGATTCTCCAGGCGCTCCCCCCCCACACCAACACCCACCCTTACTTTTCTCAGGGAAGGAGTCGAGGATGTGGGAAGTGGAGGGGTGGCAAGGACTGTCTGATGCTCAGCATTGATCTGGACACCAGCAGTGGAGGAGGATTGACCAAGCACAGTGCTGGCTTTATACAGTTAAACTGGCCAGTTTGGGTCCAAGAAAGGCTGGGTCCTTCCTGTTGGATGAGAGCCTGCAAGCTTAGTGACCTTGTGTGAGTCTAACTCTACTCTGCCTCTCTACCCTCTTTGCAACTCTAGTTGGAAGCCTTGTAGGTGGGCTCAAGTCTGGGATTCCTGGATCCAGGATTTGTGAGTTTGTCAGACTGCAAGAGCATTACGGGCATCACCCTGGGTCTTGTACCCTTGTTACCTGCATGCCTGGCTGGATACATTCTTGGAGCAGGGCTGTCCTCCAGGGTTACAGTGAAAAGAGCCTGGCAGCAAGTACACCTGATCGATCAGGCCATGAGTGTGAAAGACTTAGAGAAAGACTCACACTGCATCTAAATACACCAAACAGGTCATCTTAGGTATCTGGAAAAGAATTTTACAAGATGTTTAACTTGACAGCATTTGCTATTTGTTCCCTCAAACGAGAAAGCTTTAAGACAATGGACCTGAGATGGCAAAGTGGCTCCAGCAGTAGACAACATCTCTGGTGACCCTGTAGCTCCTCCTCTTGGGCTCAAGGTGGGAGGAAAGGGCTCTACACTGCAAAGGACAGGTTTAGTCCATGTGCAGGGCAGGTGGCAAGTGGGCTCAGCAGTGCACAGAGAGGCCCATGAGACCCAGGTTGCCATGGCGTTGGCTGGGTGCACAGGCAGGAAGGCTGCCTTGTTCTCCCAGCTGTGGCTGTTGTGGGTGGACGAAATCAGGAGGTCTGCTCCCATGCCTGGGACCCACTTAGCTGTGAGTGTGCTGTTCTGACTGCTGAGAGGGCTAGAGGTGACATCAGGTTTGTAAACAAGCTCTCAATGGCCCTGGCTTTCCCCTCCCCAAGGACTCAGCTGATGTCATGGGGCTGGGTGAGGTGAACTGAGATACATCTCCTTGCCTCTGCCTCTGCCAGGATAGCAGGAAACACCAACGAGTGTAGCAGGGATCTATCTTGGCTGGCACCATGCCTTCCCAGAACACCACCGACCTCTCCCCATCCGGGGGAAGCCCAGCCTTCAGGGAGATGGAGCCCAAGGACCAACAGCTCATGGTGAGTGCATCCCTGTCCCAGCTACCTGTCCTCTGCCGGGCATTCTCAGCCAAGCACCCTCAGGGCGGGTCTGTTCCTTGGTTTTCCCTTCCTGGGACCTGGTAACCTACCACCCCCTCCTTATCCCCTGCCCAGTGAGCATACTTTTTCAGGAACCTCAGGGCCCACACTAGGATGCCAGATGCCAGGCACCTACTGCCTAGATCCTTAGTTTGGTTGGCCTTTGGGTGAGCTGGGGACTTGCCCCAAGCCTGTAGTCCAGTCAGTTAAAGACCAGCATGCATGGCTACAGCTCATGTATCATCTAACCCCAGGGGTCTCTGTAGGCTCCCTTGATAAAGGGGAGCCAGATAAAGAAAATGGAGGCTTACCGTTTTCCTCTTGGTGTCTTCCCAAAGTGTTCTCTGCTGGCCTGATGAGCTAAGCTTGGTGCGTACTCTTTCTGGTGGTCAATACTGGGCAAGGTGGTAAGTTCCTTCTGCAGCCGTGTGGCCTGGGGCAAGTTAATTCACCTCTCCATGCCTCAAAGTCCCATGTGTTCAGTGAAGGTGACAGTGGCTTGTGTTCCTCAAAGCATTGCTGGGAGGCATGAGCACCTTCGTGCAAGTGTTGAGGAGTTAGGACGGAACAAAGGGGTGCTCAGGGTTGGCCCTTCACTGCTTCCCCAAGAGGAAGAGCAAGGCAGAGAGTTGGGGTCTTGAGGAGAGGGACTGTTTTAGGACACCTGTGAATGTACTGCGTGTGTCCTACTCACAGGTGGCGCTTCGGATCCACCCACTCAGTGAGGCTGAACTGGAGGAAGGAGCCACCATCATTGCCCACAAAGTAGGGGACCAGGTGAGCGAGAGAGAGGATACGTGTCCATGGCAGAGAGGCTGTGAGGCTCTGTTACAGTGCATGCTTTCCTCATTTACCACATGCTCTGACATGGGTAGAGCCAGGATGATGCCCCCCACCCCACTGCTGTGGTGTAGGAGGGCATAGTGGGACGCTGGAACAGAGCAGGGATGTGGAAAACTGTAGGAGCTGGGCTCAGCTATGTGTCAGGCCAGCTTGGCCTCAGGAGCCCTGAGAGCAGGAGGAGAGGTGGAGTGGACAGAGCTGGCAGGTCCAGGTCCAGGTCCAGGACGACTATCCCTCGTCCCCTGGCAGAGCCCTAGGGGGTTGCACCTAGTTACTCACAGGGAAGCATTTGTCCTTGGCTGTCACTTGCAAGAATAAATGCAGAATCTAGGGGGAGAAGTGCTCGGTGGGCTGGATTCTCCTGCTTGTCTTCAGTGAGTACGAGTAAAATGTGGCTCTGGGAAGGTTTATCTTGAGGGTAGAGGCTCACGATGCTGGTGGAAGGAGATCCCTGTGACTGCTGGCCCCGGACACAGGAGCACCTCGTTCTTATCTGGTGGGTCAGGAGGAAGATGACTGGATGGGGCAGCCAGGGGAGGGCAGCACAGAGGCTATGGAAGGCTAAGCCGGACAGGACAGTGGTTAGGATCTGCAGTGCAGAGGGCTAACATGGGCACACTGAGTGCTGCTCTGCTGAAATTCACATGTGACAGTCCGTGCTGGAGATGGCGCTGTCATCACCTGGCAGCATCAAAGAAGGAGACAAGACTTGACAGAAACAGCACATGGGGCCCATGTTCTAACAGGGTAGTACCCCCCAAAGATGAGGCCATCGTTCAGGTACCAGCAGGCAGGGCAGGGCTGTAGGAAGCCAGCTCAGTCTTCAGAATGGCAGGCTATGTTTTATACCACACAAATTCACTGTGTAGTCCACTCTGCTGGTCACCCAACCAGAGACCTCATGCCCATTAAGCTGTCATATCCCCCAGCCTGGCCCCTGGCAGCCACCAGTCTGCTTTCTACCTGGATGCTGGATGTTTCATATCAATGAAACCCACAGTATGTGGCCTTTTACGTGTAGCTTCTATGTAGCCTGTTGTTACTGAGGCTCATCTGTGTTGTGACATGCTTACATTTTCCTTTAACTTTTATCTTGAAATGTCTTCAGACCAACTACGAAGTTGCAAGAATACTATAGAGCCCCCATATTCCTGCACCTGGATTTCCCAGATGTTGACATCTTACTGTAAGCTTTCCTAACCATGACCTGACATAACCCTCTCCCCTGCATACTGACTCCTTTCTCGTTAATCCCTTTTCAAAATTTTTATTCTGAGGCAGGATCTCACTAAGTCACTGAATTGCCCAGACTGGGCTTTAACTTGTGGTCCTCGTGCCTCAGCCTCCCCAAGTGCTGGGCTTGCAGAACATGTGCCACTGAACCTGGCTTCAATAATTTCTTTATAACAAAAGAAAGAAGTATTTTTGGAGCTCACATCCAATGCAGCTGATAACTTTTTGAGGGCCCAGGACTCAGGGGCTGTCCCATTCACCCCTCTAAGCACCTTGGCAGTGGAGTCTATGATCACTGCCTTTTAACAGGAGAGAAAATTGAGGCTTGGAGCCCAGTGACCTGTCTGAGGCCTCCTGTCTGTCTAGTGACCATGGAGCCAGCTGGAAACCTGGCTTGAGGGCTCCAGAACCCTGGTGTGGTCACCAGCTCCACTGGCCCCTCCATGGCCCTCTGAGTTGGAGGCCGTTCCAGTTGGTCCTACAGCACAGGCCTGGCCCACCGTGAGCACACGCAGGGCTGCCCCCGTGTCATCTCACCCTGTAGCCCTCCTGGCCTTGGAAGGAAAAGAAAAGCACAGAGTCAGCTCACGTCATGGAACAAGAGCTGGCCAGCAGCCAGGAACAGCCTTGGGGACCTGGGTGCAGTTGTCACTGATTCCTCAGGAACTGCTCCAGACTCTGGCCCACAGGACCTCAGTTTGCAAAGCTCTGACTAAAGGGGACCGGCTGGTGGCCAGACCGCATGTTTGTGGTGCCACCCTGCCATGCTCCCCAACTCTGTGGTCCTCCCAGGGGCCGCCAGTCCATGAGTTCCCACCAGGCAGGGTGTATAGTGATTCCTAGGAAGGTCTCCCTTGAGTGCTCTGTCCCCAGAGAGCCTCCTACACTTCGCTTTATAATTGCATATTCCTATGGGGTGGGAGACACCGCAGGGACCCCAGGCCCTGAGGAACAAAGCCACAATGGAGGGTTGGCCAGAATCCCTGTATTTTCCCTTCTTGTACGTGAACTATCCCTCGCCCCCTGAAAATCCTCGGGGCTGCGTGGGATGAGCACAGCAGTGGGTGGCCAGCCCAGCACCCATAGTGTACAAAGTTCCTCCTCCCGTCTTCATTGGTTCAGGGTTGGTTCTCTTTGGTTGTCTGTTGGGAGCCGCGTCTGTGATAGCTCGCCTTGCGCGGCGGACGTGCGGCCTGTGGTAAAGAGCAAAGCCTGAGGTAGATTACCCCTCCCATCGAATATGTTAGTTTCCTGCTTACCGCGTAAACAACCCGCTCAACAATATAGTCTGCCTGGCAACTGATGATGTTAGCCAATCAGCTTGCCTTGCTTACTTTAACATGATTGGACACTGTACCCGTATATATACCGGTGCCACCCCTGGGCGGAAGAAGAAGCCAGGTAGAAGCCCAGAAGTAAAAGCCCAAAAGGAGCCGCGGAGAGCGGACCGGTAGAGGCTTTGGGGCAGACTGAAGCACAAAAGGAGCCGCGGGGAGCGGACCAGAGGAGGCTTCGGCTGGGAGCGATCCCAGGGCAGGCTGTACGGAGAAGGAAAATAAAAAGAAAAGGTTGTCCACTGCCAGACTTTGTCGTGTGTCCTTCCTGCCGGCCGGGAGCGGACATCGACATTTGGAGGCCCGCACGGGGACTGATCACCCCCGAGACGTGGAAGTGGACAACGCTCCAGTACAGAGCTGCGAGACAGGTGAGTTGGGGATAAGCCTGGGCTCTGGGTGGCGCGCACCTACAGGGCTTTTAGACTCCCCTCAGGCTCACGCGTAAGTGGCGGATTCCTTGGGCCTCACGCGGTGAGTAACATATTAAAAGATGGGAAACATGTTAGGTAGCGGCACTAAGAGCGAGGGTGGTTGTGGAGAAAGCTCTCAAGAGCTTACAAAAGTACGCAGGGTATCTGAGCAGGCCCAGTCAGGGAGCTCCCGAGAGGGGTCCGTCAAGGGGAACAAGGATGCTAAGGAGGAGGACGGGGCTCTAGCCTCGGAGTCGTCTGACTCCGAGGACGAGGGAAAGTTGAATGGCAAGGAGGCCAAAGAGACCAGCTGTCAGGAGCCTAAATCGCTCAATAAGGAGTCGCAGGGTTCTTTTCCAGCGTTACCCCGCGAATTGCGCTCTGCTCAACCTGGTCTGCGGAGGAGTAGAGAGCTCCTGAGCGCTCCCCGGCGCGAGAGGGAGGCGAAGCCTTCCGCCCCACCTTGGGGGCCGTTTCCGGAGGCGATTCCTCGCCACGAGGCGGCCGCCTGGGAGCTCTCTCCCCTTTCGCCAGAACAGGAAGTGATGCACGGGCCCCCATTTTCCGCCCAATCACGGCCGCTGTCTTATGCTCCGCCGCCGGCGGGTCGGTATTTTTACAGGCGGCTTTGGCAGGGGGGACGCTTGTCTCATGAGGTACATCCACCTGGGATAGATAGTGGCCCCTACGGGATATTTCCTGTACAAGTAGCTATGGGCCAGGGACGCAATGTATGGGAGCCTTTTGAGATAAAGCAGATTAGAGAACTTAAAAATGCAGTTACAACCTTTGGGCCGACTGCGCCTTACACCATTGCCATGCTGGAGAATCTGTCTTCTGGGCCCCTCACCCCCGCGGACTGGATTCAGCTGGCAAAGGCGTGTCTGCCCTCGGGCAGTTACCTGGATTGGCGAGCCTGGTACGCAGAGTTCTCTGCAGAGCAGGCTGAGAGAAACGCCAATCGGGGAAACCGGGGGTGGAACAAGGAAATGCTTATGGGAGAAGGTCGGCACGCTGATGACCAGACCCAGTTCCCCGGCGCTGTCTATGAACAAATCAATGCCATAGGGCTCCGCGCCTGGAAACAGGTAAGTGGTGCCGGAACAGCCTCCTTGTGTCTTTCAAAAATAATTCAGGGTACCACAGAGCCATTTGTTGACTTTGTGGCCCGAATGCAAGATGCTGCCGATAAGATATTTCCTGATCCGGGAGTGGCTCAACCGCTGGTAAGACAGCTGATTTTTGAGCAATGTACAAAGGAGTGCAAGGCAGCGATAGCTCCTCATAAGAACAAGGACCTCAACGCCTGGATTAGGATATGCAGAGAGATAGGGGGGCCGCTCTCCAACTCGGGAGTGGCTGCTCTCCTGGCCGCGGCTGTACAGCAGAGGGGACCTCGCGGGTTAGAAGGGGAATGTAAGGCTAAAGGGTGTTTTGCCTGCGGGGAGCCAGGACACATTAAACGTCATTGCCCAAACAATGCAGATGCTAGGCCTCGCCCTAGGAATGAAGAACCATATGTTTGTGGGCGATGCAAAAAGGGATCACACAAAGCTGAGGAGTGTAGGTCGGTCTTTGATGCTCAGGGCAACCGTATTTGTGGACAAGATGCTAGAGAGCCAAAAAACGGCCAGAGGGGGCCCCCTTCACAGGCGGGCCCCCGCCCCAGAGACAGGACAGCTCAGGGTGGCAGCCTTCAACAAGGGCCACCCCTGGGTCAGCAGGTGTGGACCTCAGTGTCGCCTCCAGACTTATACAGAAGGTCACCATTAGGACGGATGGCGTTAGGACCCTAAATGACATGCAAAAGCTATTGGGAGACATTAATTGGATTAGGCCATATTTACATATACCAAATTCAGATCTCAAACCCCTGTTCGACCTTCTGAAGGGAGACCCAGATATAGCCTCCCACAGGAGGCTCACTCCTGAGGCAAGAGCTGCCTTACAGAGAGTGGAAAAAGCCTTAGGTGGGGCTACCTTACACAGAATTGAACCAGGGCGACCCTTTGATGTCTGTTTGCTACAGACTAGTCTACAGCCCACAGCGGTGATTTGGCAGAAAGGACCACTACTGTGGATACACCCTAAGGTCTCACCTGCAAAAGTCATAGAGCATTACCCGGAGGCAGTCGCTTCATTGGCCCTTGAAGCGCATGATAGAGCTGTCCAACATTTTGGCTCAGGACCACAAGCCATCCGAGTACCCTATACCGCCAGCCAGATCAAGACCCTGGCTGCCTGCATAGATACATGGGCCATTCTGAGATGTGTTTTCCATGGGGATATAAACAATCAATACCCTAAAGACCCTATCTTGTCATTTGTCACTCAGCACCCTATAATTTTTCCAAAGGTTACTGCCTCTGAGCCATTAGTCCTAGCAACTACAATATACACAGATGGCTCCAAGACGGGGATAGGCGCCTATGTGATCCTAGGCAAGCCCCCGGTTACCATACAATTTAAACCAGATCAGCCTCAGGTGGTAGAACTGCAGATCGTTAAAATGATTCTTGAACGGTTCTCAGAAGCCATTAACATTGTCTCCGATTCTAGGTATGTGGTCAATGCTATGCAAGTGCTTGAGACTGCCGGTTTAATTAGATCCACTTCCACAGTGGCTGGACTGTTCCTGTCTATCCAGACATTGCTTCAGAACAGACACCATAAGGTCTTCACCACCCACATAAGAACACATACATCCCTGCCGGGGCCCATGGCACAGGGGAATGCGGCTGCTGACACTGCCACTCGCCCGTTATGGATTTTTACCTTACTAACACCAATCGAGCGAGCCCGTGCCTTCCATGATAAATTTCATGTTAATGCCAGGACACTAGCAAACCATTTCCATGTTTCTAGAGCAGATGCACGAGATATCGTGCGACTATGTGACTCCTGTGCCACATACAAACCTGCCATACCGATGGGAGTAAACCCTCGAGGTTTGATCCCTGGTGATGTTTGGCAGATGGACATCACACATATACAGGAGTTTGGGACTCTTAAATATGTTCATGTTTCCACAGACACCTGTTCTCACGTCATATTCGCAACAGCAGAAACAGGTAAAAAAGTGTCTAATGTGATCAATCATTGCCTGGCAGCTTGGGCCGCATGGGGCAAACCAAAAATATTAAAAACTGATAATAGACCAGCCTATATAGGCAAAGCCTTCAATGAGTTCTGCAAAATGATGGAGGTTCAATTAAAACATGGTATCCCATACAATCCCCAAGGTCAAGGAATCATTGAGAGGGCTCATAGAAGCCTCAAAGAAATTTTACAAAAACAAAAAGGGGGAGTAGGCCAAGGCCTGGCCCCAAAGGCACGATTATCCATGGCACTATTCACACACAATTTTTTAAATTTAAATAATGATAATCGCTCCCCAGCTGTGGAGCACTGCAACCCTTCCCCCAACCATAAAGGGTGGGTGAAGTGGAAAGATGTCCTGACAGGACAATGGATGGGCCCGGATCCAGTGGTCAGCTGGAACCGAGGCGCGGTTTGTGTTTTCCCACAGGAACCGGGACGAGAACCACTGTGGATACCGGAGAGACTGACACGGGCAACAAAGCCCTCGACTGAAGATCAGACCTGCCCTACTGGAGATCCATCACAGACCAACCAATAAGATGAATAGAAATAGCGGTAGCCCGAAATGGACAAGAAGATCCTCAGGCATATGCATGGCTTGCTCAATTGGCCCACGACCGAGTCTAGATATGGCGGGCATCCCTCATTCTCCTCCATAAGGTGACAATACACAGCAGGGTAGGTGAGTCAATGACGGGTAAGAGCGTGCCTCCCCAGCACGACTCGACCTAAGCCAGGCCCTACCCCATCCTGCACGTAAGCCGCTGGACTGTTAGATGCTGCCCAGGTCTAAATTTCTCTCCGAGGGGATTTCTTTACGGAGAGGAAATGAGTGCAAGCTTGTGTGCATCCAGGTTCCGTCCAGTTTGTGCCTGGCCCTAGAAAAAGGACGAGGGCCTCAGGGCCTTGGCAGACCATGGCATGGCCAACCAGGGTCTAAGCCAAGGACCTACGGTGGACCTGCACATAGGGCATAAGCCTCTGCACCCAGTCCAGGAAGGGCTACGATGCGCACATTCATAAAAAATAAAATAGGGGGAGATGTTGGGAGCCGCGTCTGTGATAGCTCGCCTTGCGCGGCGGACGTGCGGCCTGTGGTAAAGAGCAAAGCCTGAGGTAGATTACCCCTCCCATCGAATATGTTAGTTTCCTGCTTACCGCGTAAACAACCCGCTCAACAATATAGTCTGCCTGGCAACTGATGATGTTAGCCAATCAGCTTGCCTTGCTTACTTTAACATGATTGGACACTGTACCCGTATATATACCGGTGCCACCCCTGGGCGGAAGAAGAAGCCAGGTAGAAGCCCAGAAGTAAAAGCCCAAAAGGAGCCGCGGAGAGCGGACCGGTAGAGGCTTTGGGGCAGACTGAAGCACAAAAGGAGCCGCGGGGAGCGGACCCAGGGCAGGCTGTACGGAGAAGGAAAATAAAAAGAAAAGGTTGTCCACTGCCAGACTTTGTCGTGTGTCCTTCCTGCCGGCCGGGAGCGGACATCGACAGTTGTCACTGTGGGGCCCAGGCCCCAGGGGAGTTGCTGCTGACACTGGTCTGTAGTGTCAGGCGACCTGTTCCAGTTGCCCTCCTGAGGAGCCGTGGTTTGTCAGAGACATTGATGGGTGTGTTGGGAATGTGGCAGCAGAGCCCAGCATGCTGGGGAGCTCACATTTGCCTTGGGGTGCAGGAGCAGGAGCTGCTGCCTGGCACAAGGGAACCAGAGTGGGCGCTGGGTGGGAGGGCTCCAGCACAGAGGCCCACAGCTCCCCTAACATCCACGTCTGACCCTGGCCCTGGTTCAACTTGGAGGCTGGGCCTGTTTCTTTGGGAGGGCAGGGAAGGGTCTGACCAGCTTTCTCCTGCCCCTCCTGTTCAGGCAGTTGTGCTCATGGACCCTAGTGAGGACCCCGAGGACACCTTGCATGCACACCGGTCCCGGGAGTGCACCTTCATCTTTGACAGAGTTTTTGACCAGCATTCGACACAGGTGCCCACTTGTCCACCCTCCCCAGCCCGCTCGCCTCACCTTCTCCCAGGTCACAGTAAGGACAAAGAAGGTATGAGCTGAAAACCTGAGCAGGAACAGGACTGGGAGCCCCCATCTCCCAAGCACAGGCCAGCAGGGGCTTCTCTTTAGTTCAGTAACTCACTCCCCCAACAGGGGCCCCTCCTGTGCACCAAGGGAGGAGACCTGCTGCCCCTTTGAGGAGAAGGGGAAGCATCTAGAGCCTCTTCAACCTGCCACTCTTTCTCACCAGCCAGTGCCCTAATCTGCCAGCGAGGCCCCAGCTGCCCCTTCAGCAGGGATGCTGGTGGGCCAGAGAGGGTGCCCCTGGGTCAGAACTTCACATGGTTACACAGCAGCGGGGTAGGAGGGGCCTGAGTACCAGCATTCATCCAGCAGCTACTGTGAGCTTGTGCTGTGCACAAGGCCCGGCCCTGGGGTACCTCGTTCTAGGGTTCTTGCAGTGAGCTTGTGGAATACATCGGCACAGATCCCCACTCTCCTGGTGAGGGAAGGCCGGGCTGCCTGCCTGTGGTCACACAGAACCCTGATCAGGCCCAGGCCTGCTACATCCACAGCCAGAGAGAGGCAGTGCAGGCTGTGGGGTCCCAGAGGAGCAGTAGCTGCAGCAGTTTCATGAGCAGGACGCAGAGAAGGTGCCTAGGAGGTGGGGGCTGCTGCTCTGTCAGGCTGGCTGAACTTGCCCGCCCTGATGGTGTCTTTCCTTGAACTCCCTGGTGGTCAGGGAGCTCACTACCCCCACATCCCTACTGCTAGGTGCTGTGGTCTTTTATACATCCTGTGAGCCCCAAATTGCCCCTGTTGTTTGAGTCCCAGGTTAAGCCTACAAAAAGCATCATGATAGCCAGGCGTGGTGGCACATGCCTGTAGTCGCAGCTACTCAGAAGGCTGGGGCAGGAAGATTGCATGTTCAAAGCCAACCTGGGTAAGACAGTGAGAACTTATTTCAGAATAAAATTTTTAAAAAGAACCAGGGATATAGCTTGGTGGTAGAAGGCTTGTTGAGCATGTGTGACACCTGAGGCCATCTCTAGTACTGCAAGAAAAAAGGAATCATGATGCTCCTCATAAGACTCCCAAGCCACCACTCCTACCAGAAACTTGCCTCCTTTTCAGCCTCTCAACTGCAGAGAAGCCCTGGGAGGGAATCCTCTGTGTTTGGGCTAGGGCAGGTCAAGCCTCATGGTCGCAGCTCTCATGTGCCTTTGTTTTAACCCGCGAAACCCCCCTTGAGTTCACCACCATCTCACACCACAAGGCTCTGCACAGGGAGGCTGTGTGCCCAGAGCAGCCCAGTGACAGGACTGGGATGGGAACCCAGGAGTTCCTAACACTGAGCTCTGTCCTCTGTGTGCCATGCTCATAGAGAGGGACACCACATTGTCCACCACCACACTGTCCTCTCCAAGCAGCCGCACTGCCAACTCAGGCTGAACATCCTTTGACTGCTTGTCCTTCGGTCTGTCTGCAGGAAGACGTGTACTCTACCACCATCTGGCGTTTGGTAGAGGGCGTTATTTCTGGATACAATGCAACAGTGTTTGCCTACGGCCCCTCAGGTACCATCCACACAGTGTCCTGGGGAGGGAACTGGGTTGGTGGCAGAAAAACCTGAATAGCACAGGAGCCTACGTCCTGGGCCCTGGCTTCCTTTCAGCAGCAATAAGAGGCAGGTGGGATGACCTCTGCTCACAGATGGGAAATAAGCCCAGAGATACAGCAACTTCCACAAGGTCGGGGTGTGAATCTAGAATTCAGCCCAAGCCTGTGCTCTGCTACCCATGAGAAGCACAGTTTCTTCTCTGAGTATAATTTGAGTTCAACCATTTGCAGACCTAAACTCCCATCCCTCAGAAGTGGAACTGAAGGGGATCAGAGTCAGACAGGCCCAGCCCTAGTCCTGCCATTGCACAGACGGGGAGACAGGAGGGAAGCAGCTTGTCCAGAGTCGCAGTGTGTGCCCATTTTGAGTTCTAGTATATGCCAGACTCAGAAGGAAAGAGCAGCTGGGTCCTCACCTTCATGGGGTACAGGGTGAAGGGGTGAGGCACCCCTTATAGACACACACCTCTCCCCCTCAGAGATGTGTTAATTCTCTTCTTGGGAAACAACACAGCTGAGCCCGTCTCAGGAGCCCACCCCTCCCGCAGGTGCAGGGAAGACCCACCATGCTGGGCATGGACGCAGAGCCTGGCATCTATCTGCAGACCCTTACTGACCTCTTCCAGGCCATTGAGGAGACCCGAGACCATGTGGACTACAGTGTGTCCATGTCTTACCTTGAAGTGAGCCTGCCTATCTAACTTCACTACCTTGTCTGTAAGATGTGTGTAATAATCAGAGACCCGAGTGTGTGTGTGAGGCACCAGCCCTGCATGTTACCATGTGCTGGCAGCCTGTGCAAAGCCTCGGCCCCGTTTCTCCAGCAACTCAAGCCCTGGTGATATGGAAGTCCTTACAGGGGACTCTTCTCACCAAACCTTCTCTGTTTCAACCTTTCTGTTCCACTCCAGATATATAATGAAGTGATCCGGGACCTCCTGAACCCATCTTCTGGATTTCTAGAATAAGGGAAGATTCTAGGGGCAGCATCCAGATTCCTGGCATCACAGAGGTCTCCATCTTGAATGCCCAAGAGGTGAGGGTCAGCTATACCACACAGCTCACAAAGTTCTGATTCAAGTTTGCTGAGCAGGAACCAAAATGAGCTCGATTGTGGGTTTTAGCACTGGGATTTGCACTCAAGGAATGGCAGTCATTTCTGTGGTGACAGCCTCTCTGTTAGTACTCAGGGCAGATATCACTAATGGACCCACAGCACAACCCCCACCCAGGCCGCCTGCTACAGGCTCAGGCCTCTCACACAGCATGACAGGTAGTCCCGACCTCTTATCTGGATCTTGGTCCACCTGCCACCTGACATAATGGGCGCTCCTTCAGCAAGGGCCAGCTCCTGACACATCTATAGCTCCACCTTCTCTCTGCCTCTAGTCTGTGTGCCAGCCCACACTTGACTCACCCCAGGGTGGGCCTTCTCCTGCCCAGGGAGTCTGCATGGCTCCTTCTCACCTGCAGAGTCAGCACTGACTCCTCAGTGCTGAGGCCTCATCCCACGTGCATGGCCACGCTGGTCCAGCTCCATTGCTGCCAGCCCCTCGTGTCCCAGTGTGGGCCTGCTGGGTGCCTCCTGTTCTCAGCAGCCTCTCCACACACACCTCACAGTCCTAGCATGGGGATGTCCACAGCGAGTGCTCAACAGGGTCTCCCTGGCCTGAGTTCCACAGTTTCTTGCCTGGCAGCTGGGTTCCAGACCCCCAGCCAATGCCAGCAACTCTGCAGCTGCTTGGAACCTGGAGCTGCTCTGGGAGAAGAGATGGAGGATCCACTGGTGATGTCTGCTGGGGGTGGAGGATGGGAAGAGCCAGTGCAGGGGGCAGGAATCTGCTGTTCCTGCTTGGTCACATGTGACTAATTTTTGATCACTTCCTGATGCCAATCACAAATTCCCCCATCTGTGGGGTGCATAGAGCACCGCCACCCCTCCACTTTCTGGGTGCTCCTTGAATGCACACCTCGCTGTGCAAACACTCTGGCCACCCCTCTTCTGCCTCTGTCCTCAGATCATGTAGCTTCTCACCAGGGGCAACCGGCAGCACACACAGGAACCTTCAGCCACCAACAAGACATCCTCAAGTTCCCATGCGGTGCTGCAGGTGACGGTGTGCCAGCGGAGGTGTGGCCCAGACCTGGCAGAGGAAGTGCACCTTGGCAGGCTCTTCATGGTGGACCTGGCCGGCTCCGAGCATGCCTCCCAGGTATGGCCCATCAGATGTCACTATGTCCACTGCCTTGGATCCTTTTCAGTCTTGTTGACCAGGCCTTCAATGCCTGGAATAGCACTAGGCCCAGAAGAGTGGGCTGCCCCAACTCCCCAGTGAGACTCACCGTTCCTTGATTCTCCTGCCTCTGGGTGTGGTGTGCGGCTCCTGGCGATGGCATCAGTGTCGTGAGCAGTCCCCGAGTGCAGGGACCCAGCCAAGGGCCAGAGATCCAGAGGGAGCTGACGGAGGCAGTGTCAGAAGAAGGTCATCCATAAGTGATGTTGGTCACATCCCTCCAGTGTACCCAGCACTTAGCACACACCAGTGCCATCCCAGGAGGGCAGCGTCATGCCCACTAGACAGCATGGAAAGCATGGCCCGGAATGGTTTGGTTCAGCTTTGCTCAGAATCATGGAGGGCTGGGGAGTAGGCTCTGGGGGTGAGCATGCAGGTGAAAGGTGTGCATGCAGGTAAGTCATTTGCCATCCTAGGATTGGTGACCTGGGAGGGGTGCCCCCCAAAGCAGCAACACCCCAAGATGCCATAGCAGCACAACACAGAATACTGAGGACAAGGTTGGTACATAGACAGCTGCGGGTATGTTACCAAGGAACTGAGTGCCATGGAGGAGACTGCACTGGGCTGTGGGCAGGCAGTGTCCTCAGGAAGTAGAGACCAGAGTGGCCTCCCTAGGGCTTGGTGCCAGAGGAGAGCACCACAAAGGAGTCTGGTCCTGAGCCTGTGCTCTCAGTTTCTTCTACTTGCTGTGTGGCTTTGGACAGGGCAGTGTCCCTCTCTGGGCCTTGGGGCTTGAGCGACATATTCAGTGACCTAGTGCTATCTCTGAGGTCTGCTGTGCCCTCACAGAAAATGTCTCACAGAGTTTGTTATGGGCACAAGGTCTCCAAGAAATCTCCTGTCCCAACATAGACACACAACACAGGACTGACTACCTCCAGCTTGGTCAGTCTGGCACCTGAGTCTACTGGCATCTTGCTTTTGTGCCCTTGCTGTGCACAGTACTGGAGACTGAACCTGCCTTCCCCGCTCAGATACAACCACAGCCCTTATTAATTAATGGGCTCCAACTTGTGCTTCTCCTGCCTCGGCCTCCTAGAATGCTCAGAAGCTGGGCAAGTGCCTCCCTGCCCAGCTTGTGCTGAGCTTTACACATGCTGTCCGGTGACACCCTGCCACAGCTCCACGAAGCTTGATTGGGAAGTAAAGAGGCTAGACAGACTGGGAGATCTGTCGGTTGCAATCAGTAGTTCCAGCTACTCCAAACCATGCGCCGGTGGGCTCTAAAACCCTCACCTTTAAAAGAAAGTGTAAATAATTCTTTTCTGGTTTCTAAAACACAAAGTGCAGAAAACCTGGAAGATGCAGGGAAGCAAAGGGAAGAGGATGAAGGCGCATCCCGCCATTGTCACCGCACTGCGAGGTGGTTTGCCCAGCGGCAGTTTTGGTTTCCAGTTTGGTCCACCTGTTCGCTGGCACTTGCGGGCAGTCGAGCACTGCTGTGGCCAGGCTCCCGCAGGTGTCCAGGATCTGAGGGCCCGGGGCCAGCAAGGGCCAGGCTGTGTGCTCAGGGGGCCTGTGCTCCCTGGGCAGTGGGCAGGAATGTAATCAAGTGTGAGGAGTCCGGGGCCTGAGGAGTCAGCAGGATGGCGGGGAAAGCACCGCAGGCCGGGTTCTCCCAGGTGGACCCCCACTGTGCAAGGCTGTAGGTCAGGATCCCCAGGAAAGCAGGGTGAGCAGGCCAATCACCATGGGAACGGGCGCGGTGACTGCGGGGTGGGACACAGGTCCCGGGCTCAGCTGGCCTCTCCCACAGACCCAGAACCGTGGCAAGAGGATGAAGGAGGGCGCGCACATCAACCGCTCGCTGCTGGCGCTGGGCAACTGCATCAACGCGCTGAGTGAGAAGGGCAGCCGCACGCAGTACGTCAACTTTCGGGACAGCAAGCTCACGCGCTTGCTGAAGGTGGGTGCTCGGCCTCTCCAGGTGCAGGACAAGGCCCAGGCAGGAGTCTCGGGCACTTCCAGGAACTTCTGTAGGCTGGGAGACACCACAGAGGCCATCTCTGGTCACGGCCTGCCCCACCTCTCCTCCTCTGAGTGTGATCCAGCTCTGCTTGCGTCCCCCCAGTGACAGGGAGCCCACTACCTCTCTGAAGCTACCAGCCCCATCATAAGGGCTCTGGTGTGAGAAGAGTTCTCTTTATACTGAGCTAAAAATCGTCACCTTGTTCTACAGCAAAGAGAAACATGAATAAAGGCAAAAAATAAATAAAAGCAAAGCAGTGGTTAAACATCCCTATAAACTCTATCTCTTGGTTTAATCTGCTCATCAGAACAGAAGGCAGAGTGGCCTGGAAGGTCCCACATCATTGCCAAGGTCCCCTCTTGAGCCTGGTCCCAGCTTCCTAGCATCAACTGTCCTCTTTAGGTTGACTCTAGGTGGGCCTGGTGGTGGCTGGGGGAGGGCTGGCACCCTGGGCAGCCCTGTCACCTCAGCTCAGTGATTCTACCCAAGTAGGATGCCCTGGGAGGGAACAGCCACACGGTGATGATTGCCCACATCAGCCCAGCCAGCAGCAGCTTTGAAGAGTCACGGACTACACTGCTCTACGCGTACAGGGCCAAGAACATCAAGACAAGGGTAAGGTGCTCAGGCTGGGCGGGAACTGGTGATCAGCCTGCCTCAGCCTCCCAGAGTGCTAGGATTAGATGCATATGCCACTGTCACTCTTCTCTCTGTTTCTTTCATCTCTTCTTGAATAAGGACTTGGCTTTGGATTGGGGACCACCCTCATCCAGAATGTTCTCATTTTGTGGCCCTTCATTACATCCACAAAGACCATTTTCCCAACAAAATCACATTCCCAGGCCTGGAGCAAGGTCACGGTCACCTCTTACTATGTGGCAGGCAAGGCTGTAAAGTCCACGTGTGGTTTAATCCATTTCATTCTCACAGCAGCTGTCAGCAGTGGATCCTGTTATCCTCCCCCTTTACAGGGAGGGAAAAAACAACTTCTCCCACCTCCTGCAGCTCTCAGTGGGAGCCAGAGGCCCGGTGCAACCACTATGCTCTTTGTCTACACTTTCTTTCAGTCCAAAGGCTCCGACTCAGTCTGAGAATTCTGTGAGATGGTGCGTGTTGCAGCTTAGTATAGAGGCAGCACATAGCAAGCGGCCAGAGGCTGATAGGAGTTGTTTAATTTGTTATTTCAGTAATAGGGATTGAACCTAGGTCCTTCACACTAAGCTACATCCCCAGCTCTTTTTTGGTCCAGGGTCTTGATAAGTTACTCCATTGTCCAGCCTGACCTGGAACTTGTGATTCTCCTGCTTCAGCCTCCTGGAATGCTGGATTAGATATGTGGACTGTTGTGCCTGCTCTCATCATTTAACAAGCCCATGAAGAGCCCCTCCTAGGGCCCAGCTCTGAGCTGAGCACCAGCAGCTAAAGCCTGCTGCTGAGCTCACAGCGCACACATTCCAGGAGCCAGCCTATTACTCTCCACATCCGCCAGAGATAAATAGCAGTCGGGTGCTCAGGAGGCTGTAGCCAGAAGCTCCAGAATACCCCACGGGCCACCCAAGGGCTGGGACCAGCAAGCCAGGACGCACCCTCCTATGTGACAGAGAGTGAGGTGGGGCCAGTGTGCATACATATGGTCTCCAGATGTGGGGCTGGGGAGAAGGCAAGTAGAGGAACAGGAGCTGTGAACTAGCACGGTGATGTGCACCTGCAGTCCAACTACTCAGGAGGCTGAGGCAGGACAGTCACTAAAACTCAGGAACTGGAAGCCAGCCTGGGCTACACAGCAAGCTCAAAAAATTTTTTTAATAATCGATAGCCTGGACACCGCCCCTCCTAACAATTAAGACACAGACTTTGTGTCTTCTAGATAGAGATGTGTTCAGAGCTGCTCGGGAGAACCTAGAAAGACACACATCAAAATGACAGGAGGGACAGCTGGTAGGCGGATTTTTCAATAATTCTCCATGGACTGCTTGAGTGTTTTACTGTGATAAAATATATGTAGCATAAAATGTATCATTTTAGGCATTTTAAGTGCACTGAGCAATGCTATTAAGCACATTCGCATTGGTCTACAGCCAACACCATCACCCATCCATGAAACCTCCTCTCTTCCCAAACTGACCTTAAACACCCACTTCCCAGCCCCTCCCAGCCCTGCTCCCACAGTGCTGCTTTCTTTCTTTTTTTTTTTTTTTTTTTGTCTTTTTGCAGTTCAGGCTGCCTTGAGCTCACTTTGTAGCCCAGGCTGATCTCGAACTCACAACGCCTCCTGAGTGCTGGGATTACAGGCACGTACCACCATGGCCGGCACCACAATTCTGCTTTCTGTCTCCATGGATTTGATGAGCTTAGGGACCCCATTTAAGCAGAATCCCACATGATTTGCCCTTTTCACCTGGCTGGTTTCATCAAGCCTGATATTCTTGATCACGGTTTGATTGAGTTACCCCACGGTGTGTGTGTGTGTGTGTGTGTGTGTGTGTGTGTGTGTGTGTGTGTACCAGGGAGTGGGAAGGTACTTGGGATTCAACTCAGAGCCTTCACCCTGACTGACACCGTCAACCCTTAAAATTTTGTTTTGAGACAAGCTCTCACTAAGTCACTAAGTTGCCCAGGCTGGACCTGCACCTGAAGTTCTCCTGCCTCAGCTTCCCAGAATGCTGGGATTACAGGTATGCGTCACCACAACTTCCTTCTTAAGGCTGAACAGCATCGATTTGGAGTTCACAACATAAACACATTCACACACCAGCTCCAACACCCAGCTCCTCTGGGACCATCGTTGGCCTTTGTCTTCTCTACCAGGTCAAGCGCAACCTGCTGAACGTCTCCTACCGCATCGCACAGTACACAGACGTCATTTCGGACCTGCGCAGGGAAATCGAGCATCTCAAATCAAACATTGAGAAGCAAGAGAAGAACAAAAGTGAACCTGGCATCCCAGATGTTCAAGGTAGGGTTGAGTGTGGGCTTGGTTCCTCCTGCTGGTCCATTCTGAGCATCTGTATCCAGAGAGCGATTCAAGGTCAAGAGAGCCCCAAATGCCTTGCAGCTGAGGCTGAGGGCCAGCTGGGGCCACTGTGCAGACAGACGAAGTCCTCAGACACACGCCAGGGGTGGCAGAAGCCAGTGGGGGAGTAGTAGTGGCAATCTGGCGCTGTTTATTTGAACATCTAAAGCCCAACCCACAGAACTTCGCCCACCTCTAGGTACAGACCTGCATTCATAGCCACACAGGGAAGGGTGCGGGAGGTGCTCCTCCCAGAGAACTGTTGCTACAGGTGGGGAGGGGTGATCAGATGATCAAGGGGTTCTTTGGATTCTTCATGTTTTATTGAAGAAAAATGTATCTCCACGGTACTTGTGTAAATACTGTTGAACTTCACCAGGCTGGGCTTCCTGGGCTTCCCAGGACAGGAGAGATCCTCCTACTTTAGGCTTCCAAGAAACTGAACTGCAGGGGTGGCCACTGCACCCAGATACTGTTCTCCACTTGCTTTCCCCCTGGCCTCATGTCTGGGACCATCTGTCTGCATGTTGGCACCACATCAGCCTCTGTCACACAGGAGGGTATGTCCCAGTATGCTGGTCTCAGTCCTAGGGTGGGTACTTGGGCATTCTTACCATGGCCTCCTGAGCCCCTGGGTACTGTTTTTCTCTGATCAACCTAAAGGTTTGGGTTGCTTTTTGGAGCCATAGGTGAAGGGAACTCAAAGGGGATGTGTTTTGGTTGGTGACAGGCTGGATTATTGGGTACTTGGAGGGGTCAGTGGGGTGGGAAGTGGGGTGTTGCAGAGAATTTACTACCTTAGGTGATTAACAAGATGTATGTGAGCCAGGGATCTAGTTCAGGGACACAAGCGCCTGCTTGGCAAGCATGAGGCTGTGAGTTTGATTCTGGTACCAAAAAAACCAAGAAGTGGGGCTTCCAAATGTTCCCTGAAAACTTTCAGATTTTTTGCAGTTCTAGAGTTTGACCCCAAGGCCTCATAAATACTAGGCAAGCACCCTAGTCCTGAGCTACACCCCTGGACTTCTTCATTTCATGTTGAGATGCAGTCTTGCTAAGTTGCCCAGGCTGACATTAAATTTTGGATCCCCTAAGTGGCTGGGCTTTTTGTTGTATGCCACCAAATCTAGCTCAAAACCTTGGGGATTTTTTTTCTTGGTTTATTTTTATTTTTTCAGTTTCATCTTAGAATACAAAAACTGTACTATAAAACTATAGAACTGTAAAAGTCTTTTCAAGGGCTGGGGTGTGGCTCAGTGAAACAGCACTTGTGTAACACTTAGAAGGCCCTGGGCTAGATTCTAACACTGCAAAAAAAGAAAAGAAAGTAGAATAAAATAAATAAATTTATTTTCACCTCTTTCATCTTCATTGTAGGGAATAAAACATATAAAGTAAACAATATAAAACTAAACTTCTGAAGTATTTCAAAACCTTATTTTAATGGCAGGTGGTGACTCACTCATCCAGACATGCCACAGTTTATTTCCCTAATCTAGGCTGCTTGCTGTGTAGAGAGAAGGGGCAGCTCGTGTCGACTGCCCTCAAGTCAGGCACTAGATGAGAAACAGCAGGCCCAGAGAGAGCTCCTTCCTGGGGTGGGAGGGTTGGCCAGCGTGCATGATGAGGTTTGGAGTTGATTTCCAGCATAGCAAAAATAAAAAGCCATTGATTAATTACTGGTCAACTGTTAGGAATTTACCACAAGAAATAGACTGTGAACTTACTCCAGCTCTGTGGAGCAGCTCACAGTCTAGCAGGAAAGGCAGATGTGAAGTACTTCTCACTAGATGTTCCTCATTACAGACATGCAGAGAACTGTGACAGGGAAGCAAGGCTATTGTCAGAGCAGGAGGCAGACTCTGGTGATGCTGGGGCAGGATTTCCCTGAGAAGCTGAGGTCTGAGCTGATGTGGCCAGCCCAGCCTCACCCTCTGTGCGGTGTTGAGACTCAAATATGGGCGTCCTGGCCCCAAGCCAGGCAAAGAGAGGGTTTGAATCCATCTGCATCATCTACTCATTTATCCACTAGTCCCATCCATCTACTTACCTACCCATTTGTCTGCTGATCCACCCACCTACACATGCATCCATTCACACAAATATCCTCCCACCTACCCTCCATCCATCTACAGGTGCACACATGCATCCATCTGTGTCCCTGCAGAGGCCGTAAGGGAGCCCCTGTTCTTGCTCTGTCTGGCCACCTCTGTTCTCTGTGGGTCAAAGCAGGACTCCTGTCCCCAATCCCTAGCTCCTCTGCTGCTGAGGTTAAGCCAAGCCAGATGAGGAGGCTTCTGCCTTCTCCTGCTCTGTCGCAGCTGGAGTCCAGAGCCAGTTGGATCAACAGTGTTCATGGAAGAGGACAGTAAGGCTCAGAGGGGTGGGTTTGCCCACCACTACTCATCCCCTAGGCCACAGCTCCTTCTCCCTTCACACTCTGTCCCCTGTTCCTCTCTGCAAGAGATGGAGAGACCGTATCACATATGTCATCCACACCAGGCTGCCCTTGGGGGTGACAGGGCACTGTCAACTGTTGCTCCAGAACAGCAGGTGGCCCTGAAACAGCCCTGAATGACCCAGGACACACGACCACCTGTTTATGTGGTTTACCGATTTCTTCTCCTTCACCCCCTGCTCCCAGTTCCCAAGTTCTAGCCACAGTGACCCTGCTTCTCCTTCCTTTCACTTTCTTTTCCTTTTTTCCTTTTTTCTCTTTTTTTTCTCTTCAGTTATTCAAACAGCACAAGACTTACTTAGGGGAGTTCAAATTTTAAAAGTGCACTCACAACCTGGTCCCTTCCATTCTGGCCCCCTTACCACTGCTTTCCCCCGTGGTACCCATGTGTGTGGATTCACCGGCACCCTCTCTGCAGGGCCTGGGGAGCTGCAGTTATTCTCAGAGCCCTGGACTGTGTCCTGTCATTGTCCTAGTCTACAGTAAGGAAACAGGGTGCAATAGGGCACATGTAGATAGGAGAGGCTGTGGCTGGGGAAGACTAACATATAGATGTAAATATAGATATAGGTATAGTTTATATATATGTAGAGTTTATATTTATATATAGTTTATAGTACATAGTTATATATAATTTATATATATAGTTATATATACAGTGATACAGTGGTACCTTGGTTTACCAACTTAATTTATTTTACAATTTTGGGGAAAATGGCTGCATTTATGTTTGTGTTGGGAAGATGGCTGTGGTTGTATTTCTCATTCCATGAGGAATTTGCAAACAAATGCAAAATTTTGTCAAATGCTTTCGTTGGCGAACTGAATTGTTTGCAAACAGAAGCATTCGTGAACTGAGGTATTTATATGTATTATATAACATATATGTATGAGAGAGGGAGGGGAGAGCAGCTCATAAGACCTAATTCTGTGCCCCTTTTACATCCAAACTTTTAAGGAGACCATCTGGGGTCAAGAAGGGCCCTGGAACTGGGAGTGGTGGTCCATGCCTATAATCCCAGCCCTCTGAGAGGCTGAGGCAGGGGGGTTGCAAGTTTGAGCCCAACATGGGCAACATAGTGACTTAGTGAGAGACCCTGTCCTCAAAATAAAATAAAAATAAAAAATATAAAGACCTGGGAATATAGCTCAATGTGAAGGCCCTGGGTTCAAGCCCCAGTGTTGCAGGGGAATAAAAGGTGGGGGTTCCTGAGACTGGAGGTACCAGGACCCCCAGCTCTGAACAAGGCTTGCAGTTTGACCCCCTGTTGTGGCCACAGCTGGGAGCAGGGGAAGAGCGACCTCCACATGCAGAGGGACCAGAGTGAGCTGGAAAAAGATGAGGAGCTGGCAGGCACTGATGGGGAGGACGTGCCCGAAGAGCCGCAGGAGGTGGCTGTGACCACAGAAGAAGTCAACCTACTGCTAGCAGAGCATCGGAAAACCTCAGCCCTCAAGGTCAGGGGGAGGGGCTTATTGAACAAGCATAGGTGATCCTTTGTGATCACCCTCTGTGCATGGGGAGGGGGCAGGCAGGACCACTTTCTAGATGAGAAAATGGAGCCTCAGAGATACTAGGTAAATTGTCCCAAAGCCCCAGAGAACAAGAGGCCATTGGCTGAGGCCTGACCTGCGTCTGACCTAGTGCTTGGGGCCCACAGTGTGCAGTCATGGCTCCCCCAGGGGTCTGAGGACCAGTGTGTGGAAATGGGGCAAGGGTGGCACCGTCGGTCCACTGAGACCCCTGCACACCTCACCTTCTGTGGCTGGAGCCTGGAATGGCAAAACCTTCAGCTCCTTCACTTTCCAGTTCGCAAAGTGATTCCAGGAGCATCTGTTTAGTCTTTGCCGGCAGACCTGGGGCCAGACGAAAGCTGTGTCCAACCTCCTTTCTAGAGAAGGAAGTCCTCACAATTTTGCATCTCGAGAAGAGCTACTTATTTACGTGAGCTGTTTATGTAATAACTGGTTACTTAATAGTCTCATTAAGAAAATGGCTGAGCTGCCACGTGGTGGAGACTTCGGGGTGATGCCAGGGAGCCTGATTCTGCTGTACCCTTACTTACACGCTTGCGGCTGCATTTCCAGGCAAAGGCACAAACTGTCTGATGATGTCAGGTTGTTAAATGCAAGAGGCACTTATTTCACTTAAAAGCTATGTAACCAAACCAAGGGTGTCTTCAGATTATTACATCTGCTGTAGCAATTTGGAGATTATGCAATTTCAGTTCAAACTTAAAAATCTGATTTCCTCTGACCTTTATGTTTTTCTTCTGACATTTAAAAAGAAGAAAAATTTCTTTTGCTTAAGCTCGTGCTGTGTACCAGCAAGAAACCGTGACCTGAAGATCTGGATATAGATGCTGATATGGATGGTCTAGGGCTCATGGGTCTGCTAATGGAAAAGTTAGTTATAAACGAATCAGTGCTGTAAGTGTCCAGTGCCATGTCGGGCTCTGGGGATCTAAAGATGGAGGAGGCCAGGCGTAGTGGTGCAGGCCTGTAATCCCAGCTCCCTAGGAGGATGAGGCAGGGGCATCTCAAGTTTGAGGCCAGTCTGGGCAATGCGGCAAGACCCTGTCTTAAAATAAAAAGATGAAGGAGCTCACTGTGTGACACAGTCAGGAGCCCCACTTTCTGCATTCTGCATGGTGACATAGTCCTCATGATGGATGCTAGCGAGCTGTTTGTTCAGCCAGAGAGTCAGAGGAGCTGGCACGAGGCTGTGTGGAAGACTGGGGAGCAAGATCATGATGGGGGCGCTGAGCCAATCCTCTCTCCTTACAGATCACAGATCAAGAAGGCGTTGGCCTTGTCAGTGTGCTGGAAACTTTCTCAGTGTGCTCAAAGCCATCATCTGACTCATTCCTGGGGCCCAGATTCTAGGCCCTCAAGGCAGCTTGGGCCCAGGAGGCAGCCTGGACAGTTGTGTGGTGTGGTGGTTACTTTACAGTGTCAGCTTGAGCAGGCTGGATGTGTGATCTAATGAAGTACTAATTGAGGGTTACTGAGAAGGGGTTTGGAGGTGTGTTTAATGTTTGTAATCACTTGACCTTTGGTGCATTTGAGCCTATTCATACCTATGTGTGTTCAGACCTGTCCCTTAACAAGCATGTATTGGCCTGCATCCTCTGAGTCCTGGTCTCCCTCCAGGCTGGCCTGGAGCAGCGGCTGGCCCTTGCTAGGCAGAAGGCTTCAAAGATGGAGACGCTGCTGCCTGCACAGGTGACCAGTGAGGACCAGCGAGAGGTGCTGCGGCTACTGTGCAGGGCCCATGAGCTGGAGGTGGAGAACACGGAACTGAGGGCCGACAGCTTGTGCTGCAAGACCCTGCTGTGCCAGAAGGACTTGGTGATCCAGCACTGCCACCAGCACCTGCGGCTCTGTGAGCAGCTCATCCGGGGCCAGTGGCAGTTGATGCAGGGTGAGACCAGCCTGCTGGATACTCTGGCTTATGTGTTATTGTGTAGAAAGTGGAGGCTGTACCTGGGGCTAGAAAACACCTGCAAAAGAAAAGAAAGACAGGCACACCTGTAATCCCAGCCCTCTGCAGGAGGAGCACAAGTTCAAGTCTCCCCTGGACAACTTAGCAACTTAGTGAGAATTTGTCTGAAAGGAAAAATTGAAAGAGGGATGGGGATGTCGTACCATGGTAGAGTGCCCTTTGGTCGATTACCACAAAACAAACAAACAGCACTGCATAGTCCCCAGTGGCATGGAGTAGACCTCAGTCTTTTTGCTTTCTGGCCAGGCCGGCTGTGGGCAGCTCCCTGTGTCCTCTCAGATGGCCTGTGCAGTGACAGAGCAGCTGGGCAGAAGCCTCACATCCGCAGACTGTACTGCACACCCACCAGGGCTGTGTTCTCACTCACCTGGGCGTGGTTCTATAAGGATCTCTTACATGTGTGCATGTGTGTGTGTGTGTGTGCATGTGTGTGTGTGTGTGTGCATGTGTGTGTGTGCGTGTGACAGGGAGAGAGACACAGACAGAGACAGAGAGACCTGAGTATTGAACCTAGGACTGTGACACATCCTACTCACCTCCCTATTTTTTAAAAAAGCTAATACAGATTTATGCTGAATTACTAGTTTCCCCCGGCTAGGCTTGAACTTGCAGTCCTGCCTCAGCCTCCCACAGCAGCAGGGAGCAGGGAGTGCAGTGGGCACCATAACACCCAGCTCTTTTTTTTTGATACTGGAGATTAAACTCATGACCTTGTGCTTACCAGGAAGGCACTTATGCCACAAGCTAAATCGCTGGCACAACCCAGATCCTTTTCTAGCTTTTGTTTTGACAGAATTTCAGACTTACAGGAATGTTTCAAGAATAGTACAGAGAATCCATCCAGACTCCCATGTAGTAACATTCTCACTTTCACCTTTCTCTCTTTCCTTCTTTCTTTTTTTCTTTCTCTCTCTCCTAAGCCGTGTTTTTAACCCTTAAATACATTAGGGGATATTTTCTAAAAGCAAGTGTATTTTTTTACGTGAGGACAGGATACCAACACTGATATAATACCGATTTGCTGACTGTATCTTAGCCTTGCCTGTTGTCCCCTTAATGTCCTTAAACCAAAAATCACCTAGTGTACGCAGGGTTTTATTTGTTTTGTACTGGGGCTGAACTCCAGGCCTACACTGGCCCTAGCCCTTTTCCAGCCTTTTTTCATTTTTTGAGCCTTGCTGAACTGCCCAGGCTGGGACCCAGCTTGTGAGCCTCCTGCGTTAGCTTCTCAGGGTGCTGGGATTCCATTTGTGCACCACTGTGCCTGGCTGAGAAAGGCATTAAAAATGTATAGCAGCAGTAAAGAATGGAAAGGAAAACAGATTCCCATTCTCTATAATCCACCCCCTGCCTATATGCAGTAAAGAATGGAAAGGAAAACAGATTCCCATTCTCTATAATCCACCCCCTGCCTATATGGGATCAAGTTGTGTCAGTGCTATAACCTAGGCTGTTGTTTAATTTCCTCCTTTAGTGGTTTCGCTGAGAATTATACAACATGAGGGAAATGCGAATGAAAACTGCACTGAGGGTCCACCTCGCGTCAGTCAGAAAGGCTCCCCCTGAGAACACAAAAACGCAGCATGGTGGGGGGCTGTGGGGAAAAGACGTCTGCCCCCTGCTGGTAGGAATGTAAGCTAGTGCCATCACTATGGAAATCAGCATGGAGGTTCCTCAAAAACTACAAACAGTGCTACCATTTGACCTAGCTATATTTCTCGTTGGCGTATTCCTCTCAGATTAAAGTCATCATACTCTAGAGACACCGGCATACCCATGTTTACTGTGGTACCCTAGAACTAGCCTTGGTGCCTATCAACAGATCAACAGATGAATGGGTAAGGAAAATAGCATGCCAGGCGTGGTGGTACACATCTGTAATCCAAGTGTGTGGAAGGATGAGACAGGAGGATCACCAAGAGTTCTAGGCCGTCTTGGGGCTACGAGGTGAGTTCAAATCTAGTCTGGCGTTTACAGTAAATGTTACTTTAAAAAACCAAATAAAATAAAGAAAGAACAGAAAGAACAAGATCATGTCATCTGCAGGGCAGTGGAGGGAACTGGAGATCAGTGCATTAAGTAGAACAACCCAGATCCAGAAATACAAGTACCACGTTTCCCCTAATGTGTGGAATCAAAGAGAGAAAGATGGCGTGAACTAGGAGCAGGACCGTGACCAGACAAGAGGAGGGGATAAGAAGGGGGGCGGGGTGGAGGGAGGGCAGTGGGCGTGGCTACAGTCAAACCATGTCCTATGCTTGTAAGAAGTTACCACATTCAAACTGAGTATTTTGTAAAATGAGTAATGCTTATAAAAACATTTAAAATTACGTAATTCACCATTTTGCACATTTTAAAGTGATCAACTCAGGGGCCTCACATGTCTCCCCACCACACAGCTACCTCCTCTGTCTGGTCCCACAGCACCCAGTGGCCCAGAAGCTCCGCCCCGTTCACAGTGGCTCCCCACTGTCCCCACCCCAGGCTCTGGAAGCCCCCAGCCCTCATTCTGTCTCTTGCATTTACCTGTCCTGGACACTTTACAGAAATGGAGCCGTTGAACGCGTGATGTTTTGCGCTTGACTTCTTTCCCTTAGTTAAATATTTTTAGACTCTTTCATGTCGCAGCTGGTGTGGGAACCTCATTCCTTTTCGAGGCTGAGTTGCCCTGCACTATGTGGATAGGCCATCTTGCTTCTCTGTTGTCTGTTCAGGTGCTTCTGGGTGTTTTTATCTTTTGGTGATTCTGAATAATGTTGCTAAGAACATTTGCTTACAATTCTTTTTTTTTTTTTTTTTTTTCCAGACAGAGTCTTTGCTACGCAGTTCAGGCTGGCCTTGAACTCACTAGGTAGCCCAGGTAGTGATCCTCCTGCCTCAGCCTCCCAAGTGTTGCTGGGATTATAAAAAATTTGCCTGGCAAGTCTTCTTAAAAACTTGTTTTCAGTTCTTTTGGAGTTTAAGAAGTGGTCCTTTAACTTTTAATTAAATTTTATTTGCCCATTATTAGAATCACCAATGATATTTTATGATTCAAAGGCAATATGTGAACAATAGACAAATCTTAAGCCTGGGTTGTATATAGCTTAGTAGCAGACCACTTGCCCAGCAAGTGTGAGGCCCTGGGTTCAAACGCCAGTATTGACAAAATGTTTTAAAAATCAAAACAGATGAAAAAATAGGACAACACGTCAGAAAAGCCTCCTCTATGAGGCAGGAGTTCTTGCCTTCTCAAAGCAGTGGTGCTGCTTTTTAACAAGTGGTGGCCGCTTGCCTGGCTTTGTGTGTGGGAGGGTGTCCTGACCCCGCTCTAACCCCTGCTTCCCTGGCTCCTCAGACAGTGGCGTCCAGGTGCCAGAGGCCCTGGAGAGGCAGTACCGTCTATACTTCCGGGAGCTGGGGGAGGGCACGCTGGACCGCTTGCTGCTGCTGCACTCCAGGATGGCCAGCTCGCTGCAGGTGAGTCTAACCCCCTGCACACCAGTGTGCAGATATGAGGTACGATCAAAGCATACAGTGAGTTTAAATTAAAATTTAAGAAAAGTTATTATAGTATGAGACACACAACCATTAATTCCCCTCAAAATACTTCCTCTCTTTCTTTTATTTATTATCTTTTGTTTTGTTTGATAGACAGAGTCTCCCTGGATAGCTCAGGCTGGTCTTGAGCTCTCTGAGATCCTCTTGCCTCAGCCTCCCAAGCGCTGGGTTTATAGGCATGCGCCACCTTACCCAGATCCCCCGTCTTCAAACAGACTTTTCCCTTGTTCTCGCCACTTTCAGAAGCAGTTCTGGAAGTCTTCTTTCAGAATATCTTTTCATGGCTGCCTCTATGTCCCAAGTTGGTTCAAAACATTTATGGTAATTTCTGTCAAAAGCATGATAGCTCATCCTTGTCACTTTATTCCTACACCATGCAACTTCCTGCTCTTCTCCTAAGTCAACATGACCAGGAAAGGAAGCATCTGACTCAGTGCAGGACACGGAGGCAGCCCCCACAATACCCACAAGAAAGGAACTGCTTCAAAAAGTTGCAACTCTGACGGGTAAGAGTGTTCAGAGTGAAGGAGGGTATTTTTGAGCGTGATTAATGGCAATGTGTCTTTTAATGTGGTGAATCTTTTGATAATTAAACCTTCAGTGTATTTTTCAATCACCCCCTATATCTCTTTTGAGAGCCTCCTTTCCATTCTTTGGGATAGAGACCAGAAGTGAAATTGCTGGCTTGTACAGTAGTTTTGTGTCTAGGCTTTCGAGGACCTGCAGACTTCCAGGCTCTGACTATAAGGTGTCCCTCTGTGCCCCACGTCTGCCCAAGGATCAGGCCATGTGATGGTCCCTGGAGGCCCCCTGGGCACAGCACTTCCCTCTGTCTCCGTGGCAGGGGCTCCAGTGAGGGAGCGGCCTCGCTGGCCTCCCTACTGCATGGTGGTGCCAGGGAGGGCGGTGACCTGCCCATGACCCGTCAGAGACCCTCTCCTTGGTGACATCTTACCTCTGCCCTGCTGGCCTTGCTGGCCTTGTCTGTCTGCTCCCAGGATGCTTCTGTTGTGAACACATCACCTCTGCAGGAGGCCAGCCAAGCCCAGCACGAGGACAGGAAAAGTCTCCCTTGTGGCCTCCAATCTGAGCTGCTCCCGCTGCTTTTGGAGAGAGATAGGTAAGCTAGGCGGGGCTGGGTTGGGGACCAAGGACCTCCCAGAACCTTCCTCTTTGGTGAAGTGAGTCTAACATCCCCTTCCTGCATGGTTATTTTAGGAATAACATGAGCTGGGCACAGGGGCACATGACTGTAATCCCAGCAAGCAAGAGGATTACTGTGAGTTCAAGGCCAACCTGAACTACCAATAAGATCCTGTCTCAAACAAAAAGCACTAGGGAGGTAGCTCAGTGTGAACGTCCTGAGTTCGATCCCCAGTGCTTCCCTCCAACAAAATCTTCCCTGGCGGTGGTGATGCATGCCTGTAATCCCAGCTACTCAGGAGGATCTGTGCTGTGGGGAAGAGTGACAAGAGACAGGAGGGCAGGGGAAGATCAGAGGGACCTTGCTTTTGATGCCTTCAGTAGGAGTCTCATTTTCTGGGTGCCAACACATGTCCTGTGTACAGTGCATGTCTGTGTCCATGTGTCATGTGTCATGTACACACACGTGCATGTGAACAAGTGCCCCTGCTCTGGTCTGGGCTGGATGCCTCTTCGTCACTGACATCCCACGTATTGGTTACACTGTGGGCTCTGCCCTGAGAACACAGTGTTCAGAAGGGACTGCAGGACCACTGGGTCAGTCCAGCCCTACCTCTCTCCCTGGAAGGAGGCCATCTTGGCCTCCCTGTCCAGAGCTGGGCCTGCAGCCACAGCCTGGATGTGGTCAGACCCCGGGTTGAGCTCCCTCCAGCTGTGCGTGGGGCACAGGGACACTGTGTCTGCAGCTGAGGGGCCAGCGTGTATGGAGTCAGCCTCTGGTCCTGCATTACACTGTGTGAGTGTGTTGCTAGCTCAGTCTCCAGCCCACTCTGGTTCTAACCTGGATCTCTCCAGGGGCCACCAGGAGTTACCTCACCAATATAACAAGGAGATTGCAGGGCACTTGCCCTGAGGCTGGTAGCCTTCTGGTCTGTGGAGGGCTCTTCCTGCTCATACTCTAGCCCTCTTGGTATGTGGACCACAGCACTCAGGGGCTGTGCTTACATCCCTTACCCACTGGGCTCATGACCCCACTAATGGAGAGGTGGGGCAGGGCCTCCTCGACCAGGGACCCTTGGCTCTCAGCACTGGCCTGGCCATGATAGAGGATCAGCAACATGACTGAGGCCACTGCCCTGCCCCAAAGTGGGGTACAACCTTTGTGGCTGGGGTGGTACAGAAGTCCAGATTCAGGCTTTGATCAAAGGTGCCAAGCCCTGATAGTATCCCTGCTGGGCACTCTGCTTCATCTGCAGTGATGGTAACAAGTCATCGAAAGCCACGCCATCCAGAAAGCTGGGCCGGCAGGATTCTCTCCTCCCTCCACCACAGCTTCGCACCCTGCTGACTCCTCCCCTGCTTGAGGTTGGTATGCCTGTCCTGTCCCAGGGGGCCTCACACCCCACCTGTCAGAGCTGCATGCATGGGTGGGCAAGGGCTTCCAGAAGGAGGGCTGTCCCAGAGGCCCCACAATGGTAGCGGCCACCAGCACGCGGTGAGTATTTTATTTGAAAGGAGCAGGTGAGTGCATGAGTTAAAAGCCCCTCGTAGGTTCCAGTGGCCTCCTCCTGACCTTCTCCTCTCCCAGGTGTGAGCACTTTGAGGCTCAGCACATAGATGGACCTGGACTCAAATCCTGATGCTAACCCTTGCTGTGTTGTGACAGTGGGCAACTTACCTCACACCTCTGAGTCTATTTCTTCACCATAAATTGAGGGATCCTGGAGCCTCAGCATGGTGCCAAACCAAAAAAAAAACCAAACTGGTTCAGTAGCCTAAAGGAGAAATGCTGTTCATTCTTCTGTACTTCTCTTGAAGAACATCAGCTGGCTCACTGCTTGTCCCAACAAACTCAGTGACACCCCCACAGTGCTCTGCTGCTGAGCAACCTCCCCAACCCCCCGTGATGTCCCCTTTTTGACTTCCCTGTCACTCAAAGCCTTGAGTCCGCTGCTTTACCTGCACTGGAATTTTGTGTCTCACACTCTACTCCCATGAGGTGTGTGTCCATCTGTCCTCCTCCACCAAGCACACAGTCTTCCTTTCCATGGGGACCAGGGTGGGACAGGTCCTTTAGGGAAGCAGGATGACAAATGGGTGGGCTTGGGGAAGGAAGAGGCCAGGGGTACCCCTGAACTGGTCACTGGTCCTGTCCTGTGAACTATCATAAGGAAACCCACAGGCCATGCTGGGCATAGCCCATGGAGAAGCACTTGCCTGGTGTGTGTGAGGCTGTGGGTTTGAGTCGTGGCAACATTTTTTAAAAGAAAGAAGCTGTTAGTACTCTTCTCGCTTCCTCAGGATAAATGAGCAGGCTGTAGACTTTCCAGCTGCTGACCACCAGCAAGGAAGCCCCTTGCACAGGTAGCTATGGGGCAACTCTGCCATGCACAGGACCGGGGACTCTGGTCAGGAGAAGCTTTGGCCCAGGGATGACCCTGGGTGTCTTGACCCTGGTCTCAAGTCACTGTCTCTGAGTCTGTTCCAGACAACAGAGATTCTCTGGCAACACAGTGATAGCCAGTGACCACTAACCTTCCCCTTTGGTGCTGATTCCCAGCGGAAGCCAAGCACCCTGACCATGAAGAGCCTCATCTCCAAGCTGAGCCCCTCAGCTGGTTTGGAGTTGGGTACACCCTGGCTGATCAGGGAGGCTGGCAGCCCAGCCCTGAGTGCCCAGGCCCTAAAGGAGATGGCCCTGGGTACCAAGAGCATTGCCCGCATTGCAGCCAGCCGGCACTCCAAAGCACAGGACAGGGAGAGCAGTAGCAGCCGCTCTTCCCGCCACCTCCTGGAGGAGGCAGCTCTGGACTCCAGAGACCCAAAGCCCAGTGCTACCCCAAACCCCAGCCCTGCAGAGAAGAGGTGGCTGCCTGCCAGCCCCAGCAGGGACCGCTCCATGGAAAGGAAGGCTACGAGGAAACCGTCGCCCTCAGTCACCCGCAGCATGCAATTGGTAGGTGGCCGTCAGCACAGCACCTCTTGCCTGGTTGCTGGAGTGGAGCCAGGTGGGGTGGGCAGGCTGGGGGCCTCCACCAGGTCTGCTTCTCAGGCTTCTCAGGCTCCACGCAGTTAGAATCCCCATGCAGTACTGTAAGATGTTTGCTTCTCCCCTAATATGATGTTGTAAATATTCATGTGGTTTTGTTTCTTTTGGTGCTGAGAATGGAACTTAGGGCCCTACATGCTAGGTAAGCACTCTTCCACTAAGCTGCCTTCCAGCCCAGTATTTAGTTTACATTTAGTTCTTTGCAGCACTGGGAATTGAACTCAGGGTCTGCATTGTGCAATATCCCCATCCCTTTTCAGTTTTTGAGACAGGTCTCAGTAAGTTGTCCAGGCTGGGCTTGAACTTGCAATCCTCTTGCCTCAGCTTCTCAGAGTCCAGGGATTACAGATTTTTGCAGTTATACCCAGCCAGTATTTGGGGTTTGGGGTTTGTTTGTTTTTATTTTTGTTTTTTGTCTTTTTGAGACAAGGTCTCAATATTCAATTCAGGCTGGCTTTGGGCTCACTTTGTAGCCCAGGGTTATCTCAAATTTGCAATGATTATCTTGCCTTAGCCTCCCCAGTGCTAGGATTACAGGAATGCACCACCACCCCTGGCTCAGTGTTTGTATTTTTAACTTAAGGAAAAACACATTACTTGATTCCAGAACCTAGTAAATAACCAGTGAGAGCTGGGTTGTTAGGTGCTGATCCCACCATCTCTCTTTCCCTTGCCGAGCCCAGTACAGGGCCTACCGCCCAGGCCCCCATTCTCATCTCAGAGAGAGATGACTCTCCAGACCAATGACTGCAGACGGCTGCAGACTCTGGCCACCTTGAGGATTTCTGTTTCCCTTTCAGTGGCCACGCAGGAGCCTCAATTTTTTTACTTGACCAACACCCTGTAGGATCATAGTCTCCTCTTTGAATTGCTTGCTTGGGATACTGCATGATGTGACCCACAGCAAGGCTCAGCGTTGAGAGCCTGCCTAGCATGTCCGCAAACACACCTGAGAGGGCGGGACTGAGGAGCAGGGTGTGGACCTGTCTGTGGGTGCCAGGGCTCCCAGGGAATTGGCCTCCCTTGGCAGGGTTCCTTCTCCCTGCTCCCCTGGTGAATGAGCAAGTGGGTGCAAGGCCAGTAGCTAGAGTGTGGCAGGGTGTGGTCCTGCTTCTGCCAACCAGAGCCCCGTAGGGTGGGGCATGGGGTGCCCACGGGCTCAGGAATGGAAGGAGCCGCTGCCTTGTTCAGCAGGACTGAGAGGAGGCAGCAGCAAGGGCTGCAGGGCGGCCTGTGGTCAGTGCTCTCCTGAGAGACAGAACTGCGTGGTTTTCTCTGGTGTGAGAAACCGCAAGAATGAATAAGGACCAAAATTTGTAATGGAGACTGAGAATGAGGAGAAAAGGTTCAAATGGGCGGGACGAGGGGGAAAAGAAGGAAGGGACAAGGGAAAAAGAGAATAGAGGAGAAAAAACGGAAGCAAAGGTTGTGTAGATGCGGAGGGGATGAGGGCTGAAGGGAGGGGAGGGGAATGGGAAAAGAAGAAGCAAGATACGTCACGTACAGGTATAAACTCCCTGTAATGAATGTGATCACTATGCATATCTAAAAATGTAACAAAAACAAAAACCCTCTGTGTCCATATAGACACACAGAGAGAAAGAGAGACATCAGTCACCAGGAAGTGGCTCATGGAGTCCAGCAGGTCCCCAGATCCAAGGCTGAGGCAGCAGCTGGAGACCCAGGAGAGGCGAGGTTTTAGTTCAAGGCAGAAGAAGCCCGGGGTTCAGCTGGAAGGCCAGCAGGCAGGAGGGTTCTGTCCTGTTTGAGGGAAAGCCTGCCTTGCTGTTGTGTTCAGACTTTCACCTGATTGGATGAGGCCCACCCACATGATGGAGGGTGTCTGCTGTTTAACTTTATGCTCATCCCAAAACACTGCCCAGACAAACCCAGAACACTGGTTAGCCAGGTCCCTGGGTTCACTGTGGCCCAGTGGATTTACGCACCATTAACCATCACACTGGGGTTCGATGGGAGTTCCTTCCATTAGGTGGATTTGAGGGGAGGAGGGAATCACAGCCAGAGTGTCATTCATTTACTCATCCCTGGGAACTGGAGAGAGGGCCGGCAGGAACTCATCCACTCACCCGGAACACACCGAGCCCTTCTTCAGAGCGTGACCTTAACCTTTCACTCCTCTCGCATGCCTGCTCACACCTGCCCGGCTGTGTGCTCTCCCCGCAGGTGATGGAGAAACCTCCCCTCTCTGTGGAGCATTTGGCTGGGAGTCAGCTGCCCCTTGGACACTTCCAGCCATCAAAGTCACCAGGAAAGAGCTTTCTCCCAGCTGTTCCTGTGGCCTCCAAGATAAAACCCACCCTCGGTTTCCACACAGGTCTGGGACTGGGGAAAGAAGCCAGCATGTTCTTTTCTCTTTTTTCCCCTGGGTACCGGCAGTTGAACTCAGGGCCTCACTCTTGCCAGTCAGGCCCTGTGCTGCTGAGCTCCATCCCTGACCCCCATGTTCTTTGCTGTGTCTTTTTTTTTTAAATTGAATCCAGGGCCTTTGCACTGAGCTACACCTCATTCCTCTTTATTTTTATTTTGAGACAGGGGTTGCTAAGTCACAAAGTTGCCAGGGCTGGGCTCAAACTTGCAACTCTTCTGCCTCAGCTTCCCAGAGTTCTGGGATTATGGGTGTCCAACACTTGAACACAGCATTGCTCCTTCTTTTGATTGTGAATTTGAAACATGTTGTAGTCTAGGCCAGTGGTGGCAAAGCTATGGCATGCGTGCCACCATGGGGCTGTTTATATCAGTGAACACTCTGAAAGGTTTGCCATCATTGATCCGGGTGGTTATCACCTGTCTGTGCCTTTCTGTGACTGACCTCAGGTCTTCTTAGCGCAGTAAGTTAGCTGAGGCTGCTGGCATCGTGAAGAAGGGCGCTTGAGGGGCACCCAGCTTTGCTGCTGGTTTGCTGGGAGTGACAATGGAGCTCAGGCTGGTGACTGATGTCCTGCCCGGAGTCAGCTACCTCAGTACAGACCACACTCCCTGCCCTGAGGGTGTGTTCAGGGCAGGTCTGAACGGTGACCCCTTAGGTATGAGTAATACAAAAAGAGAACCGGGCATGGTGGTCCAAGCTGGTAACTGTAGCACCCTGAGAGGCTGAGGCAGAAGGACTGCAAGTTTGAACCCAGCCTAGACAGCTTAGTGCCTGGGTAAGTTCCTGTCTCTAAATAAATAAATATTAAAAAAAAAAAAAAAAAACCAGGGCTGGGGATGTAACTCAGTGCAAACGCCCCAGGTTCAATCCCCAGTATCACAAAAAGAAGAAAAAAGTGAATGTTAAGGCTCCTCCTCCATGGAAGTTACTAATATACTCACAGACAACTTTGACCTTGGCTTCATTTCCAATGTGCACAATGTATCTGAAGGGTGTTGTATTATGGAAGTTACTAATATACTCACAGACAACTTTGACCTTGGCTTCATTTCCAGTGTGCACAATGTATCTGAAGGGTGTTGTATGCACTGAGTTTGTTTCTTTATAACTGAGTACTGTCCTGTGGTGTGGTTGTGCCATAGTTTACTCCTTCACTGGGTGCTGACATTTGGGTTGTCTCCAGTTAGGGAAATTGAGCAATCCAGCTTTTTATAGGAATATAAATTTCATTTCCTTAACTCAAGACCTTGAAGTGAGCCTGCTGGGTTGTCAGGAACGTTTCTAAGAATCAGTCGATATTTCCAGATGGACTGCACTCTTCTGCATCCCTACCAGCAACATAAGAGAGGCAGCTCCCTGGGCTTTTGATGTCAGATTGAAAGTTATTCTAACCATTAAAGTAGATAGTAATATGGAAAATGGTTTATTACTATATGGTGGCACACACCTATAGCCCCAGCACTCTGGGAAGCTGAAGCAGGAGGATCAGAAGTATAAGCCAAATTTGGGCAACTTAGCAAGATCCTGTTTTAAAACAAAAGGAAGATGCAGCTCAATGTTAAGGGTATGTGTTCAGTTCCCAGTAATGCACACAACGTAAGTTGTATGTGATGTGTTTTACCACAATTTAAAAAAATCGATGCCAAGAATGATTAGTGTATGCTTCGTATGTATTAGGCACCTTGCTTTGGCACTTTGCACACAACTCATTTGAGTCCCAGAGGCTCCTCACAAGGTAATTTTTTTAGTTTTGTGGATTCGGAGATGATCTCAGCCAGGCTAAGTCACTTGCCAAGATTACAAAGCGAGTCCAAAGCCCTGGCTGATGGGCATCACAATCCTCTGCCAATGAGTCACAACTCACAGTCAAACAGTAGGAACATCATTAAAGAGGGCGCTAGATTCAACTGGACACACCTATAATTCCAGCCCTCTGGAAGGCTGAAGCAGGAGAATTGCAAATTCAGCCTAGCCTGGGCAATTTAGAGAGATCTGTCTCAAAATTCAAAAATAAAAATAAATAAGGGTTGGCAACGGAGCTCAGTACAAAGACCCTGGCAACAACCTTCCACATGGAGAAGGGAAGAAAGGGGCCTGGTAGTAGGACCACAGCTCAAGGCAAGCCAAACTACAGGGCACCCTTGCCCTGTGCCCATGGTTGGAAGGATAGTCGCCCTGGATTGGCTGCTGCTGAAGAGGAGGGGCTCCTGGGGTTGGTGGGCGTGGCCAGTCTGTAGCAGTAAATACAGCGCCACATGGCAGCGACTGGCCGGGGCGGGGCAGCGTTCAGAGAACGCAGGCGCACAGCGAGGACCGCGACTAGGCATCTTTTGCCTCCGTGACCACATCTCGCGAGAAGATTGTGGGGGCGGGGCTCTAGCGCTGGGGGCGGGGCTATGCTTCCGGAGGGTCATTTAGTTGCGAGGCGGCTTGGCGCTGGCTTCAGCAAGGCATTCGGCGGGGGGGACACGGGTGAGTCCAGAGGCAAGGGGCGCGTCGTCGTCTCGCGCGCAGGCACGGGTGGTATCAGCCGGGCGGAGGAGCGCGGGTCGGTCCCCTAGCGCGGGATGGGCAGGTCCAGCGTGGCTCTGGGTTCGGAGCCCCATTCTAGTCTGCTGTGTGACCTTGGCCTGGCACGCACTCTCTCTGAGCACCCTCCTCGCGGGGAGCCGGGGGCCAGCAGGGTGCGTGAAAGTGAGTGTGCAGCCGCCATCACCTTCGATCGCCTTTGTGACAGACCGGGCACCCGGCCTTGCTTGGTGCTTGGTGTCAGTTTTAATCTTTGGCTAGTTGGTCCTCAGGCAGCAAAATCGGTAACGCTTCTGGTATGACAAAGATGGTGCAGTGTCCCTGAGATCCCTTACGGAAGGCTCACAGCCCGCGGTCAGCTTGGTGCTGAGGGCCAGGACTGTCTCTAGAGAGGGACTGCTGGGGTACCACACCTCGTCCGGGTCTGCTGGACATCTTTCTGCCCCTGACGGCGGCTTCCCCTTTGCTGACCACAGCTGGGAGTTGTGCTGTGCTGACGCCCGCTCACAGGCAGGGCATGGAAAAGCATCACTTAAATGACCCTGTGCTCTCAAAGCAGCATCCTGCCTCTTGGGCAAATGGAAGCCATGCATTAGTGGCTAACAGTGGGATCTGTCTTCTCTGTTGGGCTCATGGCCACCAAGACATGGCTGGCAAACCCTTGGCTCAGGCAGAGGTTCTGTCTGGCGGGAGCACAACAAGCTGTAGTGTTTTCATAATTATTAAGTTATTTATTTTATAATCCTGTGCAGGAGAGAGTCGGAAGGCCAGGATGAATAAGAATGTGACCGCAGGCAGAGGGGATGCAGTCTACAGCAGGGCTATTGGTCCCCTCCCTGCCCTCACCGCAGGGCATGCTTTAGCCTTTCTAGGTGAGGTCGGCGTTGAGAATGTGAGCTAGTGTCTGGGTGACAGAAGAAAAGCGGGATAATTCGGAAATAATGTGAAGTCCACTGCTGTCAACCGGGTGGAATGGTGAGGTGCTTAGTTTCCCTGCATGTGAGTTGGTAGGGCGCTGGGCCGGGTTTGCAGGCCTGAAGAATGGGTTCAGAGTCACTGGTGTCCACCTGCTTGATCAGTTCTGCAAACGTTGTTGGGCCTCTAATTGTGCACAAGATCTAGTTTGTGCTGGATGCTGGAAATGTGTGAGCCTTGCCCTGGGCAGCTCGAAGCTGGCATGGGCAACTAGGTGTTAGCAAAGTGTGGAGAGAGGGAGCAGCTAAGCCTGGCTCTGGGAGTTTTCCACCATGGGGAGGGAGTGGAAATTGGGTCGTCAAGGGTTAGCTGTGTTTGGGGAAGACATTCCAAGGGGAGGCGATGGTGAGGACAGTCATGCTTAGAAGATGTCGAAATGGGGTTGGGCAGAAAGACAGATAGATTTCTGTGAGGGGCCTGGCATGCTGCACTGGGGAGTCTGAGTTTTATGTTTGTGGATGTGAACAGTTGAGGTGTGAGGAGGAGATTTGGCTGTTAAATCTATGTTTTGGCTGGGAGGGAAAAGGTGGTTTAGGGTCTGGAGATGCAGACTGCCTTGAGCAGGTAGCATTGTGGCTGTGGGTTTAGGACAGTGCCCACGAGAACACAAAAGGCCAAGGAGCGGAAGAGGACAAAAGCGGGGGGCCCTTGGGTGGTGGTCCTTTGTAGCAAGTGCTGAAGGAAGGGCAGGTGACCTCCAGTGGGCACAGTAGGCAGCCCTGGGACCTGCTCTGTGGTATGTTGGGGTGCGGAGGGGAGGGTAAAAGCACAGGTGAGTTTCAGACTTGCAGAATTCTAGACATTTGTTAGGTCCAGGTGGGAACTCTAGGGAACTGCAGTCCGAGGTTGGAGGACAGATGAGAAGCTGTTGTGTGGCTGACTGTGTGCATGCAGTTCGTTGTCATAAACGCAGTAGTATCAAGGCTGGTTCTCTCCTAGAGAGTCCAGGGCTGAAGGTGCAGTGGGTGAGAGACTGGCTGTTGGTAACAGTGAAACAAAGGCAGCTGGCCTGTCATTTTAAAACACTTCACATCTTTAGTTTCCAGTTATAAATTCTTCCTCTTAGAAAGTAGCTAAGTTTCACACCTGCTTGGTGGCTGCATTTGGGGCTGGTGGCTTTCCAGTCCCTGGCCACAGATGTGCCTGGAGATAACTGGCCCTCTCAGCTACTGCCTCCTGCTGCTAACCAAGGAGGAGGTTTCTCTAACTATTTAGAGACTTTCAACATATTTCAGACCATAATGGGAAACGCCAAGCACTGCTGAGAGTAGGGGTGGCGACAGGGGTGTTCAGGCCAAAAGGATTCAGTACAGAGCCCCTCAGCCCCCGAACGAGTGCAGACTGTAGGCTTTGGGGGTCTGAGGAGCCCAAGAGAAGAGACCTAAACATAACAACACAGGGGATCATAATTCATAACCCCTCCCAGGGTCCAGAGCATCACGTCCTGTTATCCCCTGTGCCTTAAATGTGAACATGGGGCCATGTGAAGAAAGCCTGTGTGGAAGTGGAAGAGCCAGGCCAGACCACCCTGGAGTGTGCCAGCTGGAGGCCAGGGAGGTGAGAGGCAGGCAACTGGGTGCTCTGAAGGTGGAATGTTCTCAGAAAGTGGAACAGAATAGCAAAGAGATGGGAAGTGAGAGGAAAAAAAGAATCAGATCAGGAAATCAGCAGGTAAACTAAATTTTAGCAAGAAAGAATAAAGAAAACTTAAAACTTTCTGGGTTGAAGGGCCACCCAGTGGCCAGCACAGGTCACTTGCCCTCATCTGGGCTCTTCACCTCTCAATTTGGGTTTTAAAAGGCTGGGCAGAGCAAGTTTGGAGGGCACACACCTATAATCCCAGCACTTAGGAGGCTGAGGCAGGAGGATCTGCATGAGTTTGAGGCCAGCCTGGGGTACATAGTGAATTTAAGGCCATCCTGAACTACATAGATCTTGTTTCAAAAAACCAATAATAATAATAATAATGGTAATAAATTTTTAAAAACTAAAGAGCTGGGCAGCAAGGGAAGCTTGTGCTTCAATCACACTGTGAGGAATTGGGCAAGCAGAGGATTGATTGGAAGGTGCACATGTCCCTGCTGGAATCTGGCAATGAGAGTTAGCTGCTAATCTCTGCACTTACTTGGGAGGCTGAGGCAGGAGAATCACTGTTGAATTTGAGGTCAGCCTGGATACATAGTAAGTTCAAGGCTAGTTTGAGCTACATAGCCAGACCTTGTCTCAAAAAAAAAAGTTAGCTGCATGCCCATTCCAAGGCGCACTGCTGCGAGATTTCAGAACCTGAACAGAAGACGGGGCAGCTCCTAGGGAAGAAATAAGACAGACCGCACACAGAGGTCACAGGCCAAGACGCAGAAGAGCCTTGTGTTCTGGAAGGAGCAGCCCCCAACACTAGAACATCAGAGAGCCTTGCTTTTCAAATTGTAAAGAGAAGCATGAGCCTCAAGCTCCACACTCAAGCACGGGAGGTAGAATGGGCATCTCAGGCGTCTCAGCACCCCACCCCCGCAGTTTCCCCTCCTGAGCTGTAAAGAGGTGACTGGTGACATGGGGTGTCCAGCCTGGGAGAGGGCAGCCAGGCCCCACGAGGCCAACATTCCAGGCAGGAGCCACACGCAGACTCTTTAGAGGGATTTCTGCGGGGAGAAGATGAAATTATAAGGCGACACCTGATGCTCTGGAACATCTGCAGAGGAGATGGAGACAGCTGGCAGAGTTGGGCTGGATTAGTGATAAGTACCTAGAAAACAAAGCAAATGAAGACACAGGCTGTTAT